AATCCCTCTGCCCCCAACATTCCCTGGTTCCCTGGCTCTGTGACATCACAGCCTCCTCTCTGCTCTGCCGGCTAAGCAGGAGGGGGTATATTTCTGTACTTAAAGGGACAGTGTGTCCACCACTCCTGGACACCTTTGCTATAGGAAGCAGACGCCACCCCTAACTTGCCTTGACCCCACCGTTTCTGTCTCTGGGCCCCAGTCTCCCCACTTGTGCTGAAAGAGCCCTAAGGGCTCCTCCAGCCCCAGAAGGCTTCCTGTTGGACCTGGCTGCGTCTTTCTCGGTCTGGTCCAAGTGCTGTGGGTCACTGGACACCTGAGGCTCACAGCCCAAAGGGCATAACCCAAGGGCCCTTTTCTTTGGCTCCTGTCTCCATCTAGAGGCGGGTACCGGGAGTGCAAGCAACCTCGCCCCCTCGCCCCCCCACCCCCGACTCGACATCATCCTCAGCATCAACATTTACGTTTACGGAGCTTTTGCAATGTACCAGGCAGCTGTGCTAAGCACTTTCCATCACTAGTTAATCCTCACAACCACCTTCTAGGGTAGATACTACTATCATCATCCCCATTTTTACAGATTTAAAAACGGAGCCTTAAAGGAAGTAAAATTCTTACAAACTTCATAGCTTAGTAAGTAGTAGATCCTTAAGAATTATCCCCCAAAGAATGTGCCTGTAACTGTTAAATTACCTCCCTTGAGAGCCTTTCCATTTCTGAAGAGGGCTCAAAAGTCCAACACTCTTTGCTACCAAGACTCAAAGGAGAAAGTGTCTGTGCTCCCCCTCTTTTTCTCATGAAATTGCTGGCTGGAGTAAAGGTATGGAAAACATTGGATAGACTCAGACAAACCTACATTTAAACCCCTGCTGCACTGCTAATATGTACCGATCTCCAGGCTGTTTGTATCTATGAGCTGCCGTAGAGAAAGGGACCTTTTATGACAAAGTCAAAGCTAAGGGCTGGCACACAGCGGGTTCCAGGAGACGTTGAGTTGATGTGAGGTGGCATTTCAGAGGCAGGAAGTGCTGCGGAATGGTCAGCCAGCAGCTGGGGAAGGGGACCTACCATTGTGTATCTCTTACTTTCAGGAGCACGATCACTAAGGCAAAGTTTCATTAATAGACGAGTTTAAAATGGGTTCTGGAGATTAGCTGCTAGCCGTGGTTAGAGCCGTCGGTCTTAGGAGAGTAGGAACTTCTCTTTTGCTCTCAGCCTCCGCCTTTGGGCCCTCCTTCAGCCAAAGCTGTGTGAGAGACCCTCGGGGACTGCGCAGGTGTTCAACCACTGCGGTCCACTCTCCGCGAAGAAACAGTTTCCCTTTTCCACCTACAGCGATCTGATGTTCAGTCTGAGCATCCGCCAGCCAGACGTCTTTTGGTTTTGTCTTTGAATCCTCTGTGGAGCTCTATGTTGGGCCAGTGGCCACATAAGATCCTTCGACTCTCTGGACAGCAGTCACTAAATGACTATGGGGCAGACAATATTCATTAAAATGATGATAATAATAATAATTAGAAGTTTAATTATTAGATTAAATAATTAGATTAATTAAAAGAAGGGTCTGGAAGGCACTCCAGAATCATGATCCACAGTTTCCTAGGCGTGACGAAGAAAATAAATTTCACATGATTCCCTGTGTTCTCTTTTAGATAGCCAGCTTGCCTTTGTTTGGGGCTGAGAACCCTCACCTGTGGTGTTAATCCAGGTACACCATGAAGTGCTAGCAAAGGTGCATCCCCTCTCTGATTAGCCGAAATAAAATCCAAAGGCATTCTATTATCCATAATTACTTGAGCTAAGGATTTTCAATCAGTTGGTTGTGCTCCAGGGTGTGGGCTGTATTATTTGTTATGTCAGCCAAGGTGAGGGAAAATGAGCACCTTGGGTGGTCCAGCTCCTGCGGAGGACTCTCTGTCCTCAGAAGTCAGGTCCACCTATTGGTATTTGATAGCCCCAGGAAGGGTTTCATTCCGTCCAATACCATGTGAGATGACACAGTCCGCTGCGGGGGGGGGGGGCTATATACATGGAATGGTCCAAGGATTCGTCATACAGAATAGTCCCGGTTCTAGTTGGCATTGAAGAGTCTGATTTCCACCTAAGAAACGAATCATGTCAACAAGCAGTACTGTCTGTCTATATTTATCAACAATTCCCCTTGAGAGTTTAGAGGAAGGGTAGGAATGTGTTGAGTGCTAAGATCTCCTCAGAGTGGCATCACTGGACAGATTTGAGACAAGAGTTCTTTTTTTTTTTTAAAGGTTTTATTTATTCATCTGACAGAAACAGAGACAGCGAGAGCAGGAACACAAGCAGGAGTGGGAGAGGGAGAAGCAGGCTTCCCCCCGAGGAGGGAGCCCGATGTGGGACTCGATCCCAGAACCCTGGAATCATGACCTGAGCTGAAGGCAGACACTTAACCGACTGAGCCACCCAGGTGCCCGAGACAAGAGTTCTTCCAATGGTTTTTTTTTTTTAAGATTTTATTTATTTATTTGACAGAGAGAGAGAGACAGCGAGAGAGGGAACACAAGCAGGGGGAGTGGGAGAGGGAGAAGCAGGCTTCCCGCCGAGCAGGGAGCCCGATGCTGGGCTCGATCCCAGGACCCCGGGATCATGACCTGAGCCGAAGGCAGATGCTTAAAGACTGAGCCACCCAGGTGCCCCTTCCAGTGGTTTGCTGCTCACAGTAAACACAAGTGCCTTATCAACAGGCTCCACTATTCTTTATGGACAGAGGAGTTTTGGTTCTGTTTTTATTTCAGGAGCCACTTGTTTTTTCCAAGGGGCCGTTTCTGGTTAATTTTGGAGAACTCTTTGAAAATGATCAGGAGATCTAAGTTGGCATTTCCCATTCCAATTTATTTTATCTAAGTTCCCTATTTTAGGTCTGAGCCCTTCTCAGAGAAGGAAAGGCTCCCTTTACTTAAGCTGTTGGTCTGCCCTAGCATTTCTTTGAAAGTGTCCTGAAGTCTATCAAATCTCCCAGTAATTCATCTTGACTTTATTTGCCATTTTGAATCTTTGCTCAATCTACCCATAAGAGAAGGACACTTGAAATAGTTTTATATGGTACATTTCCTATTTTTCTTCTCAAGCCCACTTTTTTGAATTATGTGTAAGTGGGTTATTCAAATCTTCTGGCCTTTTCCATCCTGCTGCTCTTAAACATTTTTCCCCCTCATTGAAGGTCAACCATTAAGTGAAGGGACTGGTACAGATGCAATGGTCAATAAGAGTGAGAATAACTAACAAAATCCTGAGTTTAATACAGCCACTTTCTGCCAGTCTGAAATTTGGGATGATTCTAAATCTTTGCCCTCAACTCCACTGTTACCCAGGGTTTGAATTCAACCTCTCTGGACCCACCTCCTGGTACAGGAGTTTTAGGGGGATATTGTGCAATGTTGATTGTTCTTTTCTACAGAAATGAAGGGAGTTTATTTAGGTAGTCATGGGAAGGAATAGAAAGAGTGTAAGTGGGTGGTAACGATAAAGCTGGGTGGAGAGAGAAAAAGAGATGTAAAGAAAGTAGGTTTCAGAAGGTTTGAGTAGGAGTACTTTTTTTTTTCTTTCGGAGGCCAGAACATGCCAATCAAAGAAGCTCTCTCTACTGAGTATCTGCTGTTTTTGTCTTCTCTTTTTTCTAGAGTCCCTCTGAAATCTCTTACTATTGACATTAAATGTTTGCCGTAGTGACCATAATTCCAAGTCATCTGGTGAAACATTTCCATTTATTAACATAAGCACACACATGAAGGGACACGTAGTAAGAGTGTATATATGAAGCAGGAGTTTTTCCAGGAAGAGGTAGCAACTTTAATGTAGATGAGACCATGACAAACAGAAGAGAATACACCACAGTTGACCACAGTTATGCGTGGTATCTTGAATTCCATGGCCTAAGAGAGCCTCAACAAGGCCATCTGATCAGTAACCTGGAAATCACTCACTCCAGAATATGGGCTGAGGAAAGTGACCTTTCATTAAGTTAACAAGACAGAACAGGTGCTCATGAAGGTTTGGAGGGACCCAAGGCAGAATTTCAGCAATTACCTTTATACACATTGATCACCACCTAGCAGACCTCCCACCGATAGTCCTCAGGGCTGACCTGTGGTGAGAGCTTGTCAGACCTATGCTTCCACTCCTTCCTTAGGAAACACTTCCTTCTACATTCAACATATGTGAGGCAATCTAGAACAAAGCAAAATCCCATGAGGCAGGAATTTACATGAGGGAAATTGAAACTAAAGCAAGCAACAGAATAAGCATATTAATGGCAAGCAATTTGCTAAATGGTGCATCTCCAAAACAAAAGAACTCATTGCCTTATATAAATTTCCACCTTCTTTCCTAAGAAGATACGGTAAGTTCATTAGAGAGCTCAAGGAAATACGTCAGAGCTCAAATCACGTCAAAAAACTCATTTGGCAAAAAATCCCAAAGACTGTTGGAGATGGGGGCTCACTGGACCCACGGAGGACCCCTTGGGTCCAAGGATCCCGCAAAATGGGGACATTCATATGTGTCTAGTCTGCTGAATGTATCTGGCCACAGCACAGAAATTTTGCTATTATCGAAGAGCGTATGTGCCAGAAGTTAAAGATTTTGTATTAATATAAGAAGTCATGGGTAAAAGAAACAAAGAGATCAGTTAGGAGGCTGTTGTTCTAATTCAGGCAAGAGAGGCAAACAGGTGGCTGGGACCAGGGGAGAGCAATAGAGAAAATGAGAAGCAAGTGCCCATGAGTGAGGCAGCTCACATAGTGCATTGGGTCTTGTGAGGGACATCAGCCAATACCATGATAAGAATTTCCTAAAAGGGGGTCTTGCCACAGAAAGGGGAGTGAGAACAGGACGTATCCAGAGACAAAGAAGTTTGGGACTAAAAGTTTTATAATTCTGGACCATCAGAACCAGAAAGATCCTTGAAGACACCATCTAGCCTAACTCCCTCTTATTATTGATGAGGCTCCTGAGACACAGAGATCCACATGGACACTTACCCGAAGCCAGTCAGCAAGTTGGTGGCAGAACCAGGACCTAAACTCCCAAGACTGTGCTTCGTTGCCATGTTCCCCTGGGACCTGGATCAGCTGGAATATTTTGGAGCCAACAAACCACATGAAGGCAAGGGAAAGGGAATGGAATGACCATGGGGCATTTATGGTGCCAAGCACCACAGGGGTGACTTTTCATATACTTAACCCTTTATTTCTACAAATAGGCACTTCATTCCCACTTTCCCCATGAAAAGAGTGAAGTTCAAGAAGGTTAAGGCATCTACCCAAGAATATGTGCCTAGAAATGGGGCAGAGCATGTTTGTACGCATTTCGGCATGAGCCGGGATTGTGCGGTCAGGGGATTCCATCTAGAGCGTGAGCACAGGTAAAGGACTAGCCTTTTTTATCCACAGTCTTGTGTTTACTTAGGAAACAGTCCTGCTCAGGGAACTGGGCTCAAAGTCAAGATCAGCTGATTCAACAAGGCGCCCCTGCAGGCAAAGCTGGCAGAATAAAGGTTTCAACTCCTCTCCATGGGTGAGAAAATTCTGTATAGAATGGGAAAAAATGGCTTTAAGAGAGGGCAACCTAGACAGAAGGGCCTGGGTCTGCTGGCCATGGGGAGCTATGGAAGATTTGGGAGCGGGGAAGGCTATTCTCTCTTGGGAGAGGCTGACCCTGTATGACACCCCTCACAGTGAATTTCCAATGGCCCCCATTCCTTTACCTCCTCCAGCAGCCCACCAAAGCCTGGCCTCGAAGATCTTCTGTTTATGCTGCAGAGACTGTGAAGAGCCCTGTGCCGTGGGTGACTCCAAGGTCCCCAGTCAAACCCAAGAGCCTCAGCCATCGACCTGCAGTAGGTCCCAGACAAGAACGCCCCTCCTGGCCTCTCTCGACCTTATTGTGTTCATCCCTCTTCTGCTGAGATATCCTCAGATTTCCTTCAGCTTTTGAGTGGTAATTCCAACCTAACATCAGGTGGGGCTTCTAACCCAAACTGGTAAACAATAGGCAGGGAGACCATGGAAGTGGCTGGCACGGTCCCCTTAGGTGAGATGGAGCAGTTCAACAGCAGGAGAAAAACTCCCATGGCAGATTTTGCCAGAAATCCACCGTGAGGGTTTTTCAAATCTCCCCCCAGAAATCATTTCACAATAAAAACCCAGAGCCTTACAAACGTCAATCCTTTTTCCCAAGATAATAACCATGATAGTGACTGAGCCCCTATTACATGCAAGGCACTGTCTAGGCATTAGGGACCCACCGTGATCAGGTGAGTCCCCCACTGTTTCAGAGCGGACACAGGAGAACAGCGATATGATTTGATCCCTACAATAACCCTGAGAAGGGGACATGATTACCCAAAATGGATGTGTCATTTTGCAGCTCTGAAAACAGGCATGGGAGGGGAGCGATTGGCTGCAGTTACACATCTAGTAAAGGACAGAGCTATTTGTTACAGGACACAGCTCAGTCGGCTGCTATACTTTTAAAAATTTAGAAGTCTATAGAAACAAAGTCTGATATACAACCACATTCACCATAACGGTATTTATGCAGTGAAAATAATCTAATCCCCCCAAAAAGAATATTGGTTAAATGACTCTTGAATTACCTGCAAAATAGAATATTATATAACCATTATTTCTTAAAATTTAGTGACCTGAGAAAAATGTTTCTGATATATCATATATGAAAAAAAGTACAATGTATACATGACATATAGGGTATAATGGGCCCTGTAAAATATGCATAAGAAAAGACGGGGACTGTGATCACATCTGAAGGGATGGGTGTTTGGGGCATTTCTATTTCTACTTCATACTCTTCAATATTTCGCAGCTTTTCTGTAATGGACATGCACTCACATTTATAAGCAGAGAAAAAGGTAAACTTTATGTTTTGGAAAAAATATATGTATTTTGAACCCAGCATGTGCGTATGAGCGGGAACACTCAGAAGACCGGAGGAGGGAGACCCAGGTGGGCCCCACCCCATAATCACCACCACCGGCCCGCATGCAACACACCTTCACTTCTGTCACCTCTCCTGAGCCTCCCCACCTGACAGTGTGGAATTATCACTACCAGGCTTGCAGAAGGAGGAGGTGGCCAGCAAGAACTCCAATGTAGATGCTAACGAAGCCTCCCGCTTACCTTTGGGACAACCTCTCATCCACCCAGAAAAGAGAGCCTCCTCCACCAGCAACAATGAGTATGAAAGTGAGTCCCGAACTGGGGTCCCCACACTGACCAGGAACCCCCATTCTCCAGATGACTAAATTCCCCTGATATATGAGCTAAGCCAGATGGGGTGACAGGAGAGACAGGACCACTCCCACCAGGAAGCTACAGTCATATTCTAGAACATGTGGGAGCAATTCCAGGAGGCTGAAACCTGCCTGCATGACCTCCCGAGCTAAGAATTACACGAGCAGCAGCAGGTCTGGGAGCAAAGGACACATATCCAGGCTTCTCTGCTAAACTCATGTCTGCACTGGCCACTAGAGGGTAAGTCCCAGGAAGACAGCTGTGTTCCCCCAAACCCAGCCAGGTGCGTGGCAAGTCAACAATGCCAGAAGATGCTTGTGGACTAGAGTGTAGTTCAGCCAGCGGCAAAACGCCTCAGGGGCATGGAAGAAGGACAGAATCCCAGTCCAGGAAGAAGAAATGCCACATGACTGCGCACCGACCCCACTTGGGTGACCTGGCTTAGCTCACGGCCACCCTGGGAGGCCGGCTGCTGACAGCTAAGGACCAGCCCAGCCCAGACATCTCAGAATTCCCAAAACAGCTACACCCTCCCTGCAAACAGAATCTCACACAAAGTCCAATTGCAATAAAAGAGCAAAGGTGGTCCTGCTGGACTTGAATCGCGAGTAGGGCCTGGGAGCCCCAGGAGCTCTGCCCCTCCCTCCCTCATGCCTCCCAACCCCCACAGGGCTCCGTGGAACACAGTTTAAAAACCCACCTCCCGTTGTATAGAGAAGACTGAGGCCCACAGGGGGAAGGGACTTTCCAAAAGTCCACCGGGAGGTAAGGTTAGTATTAGAACCAGAATGGGCCCATTGCTCTCACTTTCCAGGCCACTGCTCTTTGCAAGTCACCTGATCATCACTGAATACACCAATGAAGTACAAACACAGAACCTATTGACATGTGTCCCTGTCACAAAGGACTTCTGAGTCCTGGCCTGGGGTCCAGGTGGCTCACCCAGTATTCCAGAATCTGATGGTGATCAGGGCTGGAGGTGACCAGAATGGTCCATCCAAGCCCAATGCAAAGGTTCCTCCCAGCGTCATCATTTCTTCCTTTCTTCTTTTAGAACGGAACACACATGTGTGCCCAAGAGGCTTTTATAAGAGAAACCTAAACTGCTACTCTCAGGATCACTGGCCATTCCAGCCGTGCCACATTGGGAGACCCTGAGCATTCTAGTCCACAGCTCCCAGGCAGGCCTCCAGGACTGCACGTTGCTAGAGGGGCTCCGGGAGGAAGGGGGCGGTGAGCAGGGGCCATGAAGACAGATTCAGAAACTCCCCCGGAGGAGAAGAAGATGTCTGAGCCACCTCTGTGCCACCAGCAAGAATCCCTTCAGCTCCTGAAAAAGCCACTGTGGGGGGAGCTGCCTCCGATTAAAGCCCTTGGTGATATCACAAGACTGTGTCTCCTCTCCCCACCCCCCCCCACCACAACCAGGGAGTAGCTCTTCCAAATGCCTTACTGCTTCTAAATACATTGTCACGTCTAACTAAGCTAAAACAAAAAATTTAAGCCTATGGATAGCTTTTTTTGGTCTTGCAATCATCTTTTTTTTTTAAGATTTTATTAATTTATTAGAGAGAAAGATAACAGGAGCAGAGGGGCAGAGGGAGAAGCAGACTCCCCACTGAGCAGGGAGCCGGATTGGGGGGGGGGGGCTTGATCCCAGGACCCTGGGATCATGACCGGAGCTGAATGGAAACACTTAACCCACTGAGCCACCCAGGTGCCCCCGTTTTGAAATCATCTTGAACTTACTGAAAAGTTGCAATAGGACAAAGAACTCCTATTTACTTTTCACCCCGATTCCGCAATTGTTACATCTCCCCCACATGCTCTACCCTGTCTTTTCTCTCTTCCTGTTAGTTTTTCTGAACCACGTGAGAGCGAGTGGTGCACATCAGATCCCATTACCCCTGAATACTTCAGGGTGCATTTCCTAGAAACAACGATAATATTCTCTTACATAACTTCAGGACACTTCTTGAAAACATGAAATTCAACACTGATATACTACTATCATCAATTGCCCCCCCCCCCCGCCCAAACCTCTTCCAGCTGCTTTGTTGCCCCATGCAGGATCGAATCCAACCTCATGAGTCCCGTGTCGTCGTCATGTCCCCCGCAGTGTTTTCTAATCTGGAACGATTCTGTCCCCCATGAGCTTCACATTTCTGAAGCATACAGGCATGATTGTCTAAGGCATCCCCCCAATTTGTGTTTATCCTAAGATGCCAGTTTTGCATGTTTGGCAGGAAGACCACAGAAGTGACACTGTATCCTCCCCATATCAAGGGACACCTGGTGGAGGTAGGTCCTGCCATGGGTGACATTAACTAGATCCCTTGCTTAAGGTGGGTTTTGCTGCCAGGCTTCTCCACTGCAAATGACTATCTTTCCCTTTGGAATGAATGAGTCATTTGGGGAGAGACTCTGTCAATATCCCATTGCTCATCAAACTCTCCCTCACTAGTTTAAGTGTCTAGAACCCGCCCCCCCCCACCCCGAGAAGAAGCTGGGCATGCTAGCATACTATTCTAAGGAGAAGAGATGCATGGGGCAGAATCGCCGAGCTGATCTGATGGGCATGGTGCAGAGCATAGCCTCATGCACAGAGGGAAGGGCCACTGGAGAGAGGATCCAGGTCCTCCCCCACTCCTCCCTGACGTTGTGGTCCAGTCAAACCCCTCTGCCCCCAACATTCCCTGGTTCCCTGGCTCTGTGACATCACAGCCTCCTCTCTGCTCCGCCGGCTAAGCAGGAGGGGGTATATTTCTGTACTTAAAGGGACAGTGTGTCCACCACTCCTGGACACCTTTGCTATAGGAAGCAGACGCCACCCCTAACCTGCCTTGACCCCACCGTTTCTGTCTCTGGGCCCCAGTCTCCCCATTTGTGCTGAATGAGCCCTAAGGGCTCCTCCAGCTCCAGAAGGCTTCCTGTTGGACCTTGCTGCGTCTTTCTTGGTCTGGTCCAAGTGCTGTGGGTCACTGGACACCTGAGGCTCACAGCCCAAAGGGCATAACCCAAGGGCCCTTTTCTTTGGCTCCTGTCTCCATCTAGAGGTAGGCACCGGGAGTGCAAGTAACTTCGCACCCTCCCTCCACCCAAGCAAGCGTCTCTCCTACATCACCCTCGGCCCTGTGATTAAACACTCACCACGTGCCAGACACTGGACTAAGCACTTCACATCTTTACACCACCCAATCCTCATACAACATTCTGGGGTAGGTTTTACCATCCCCATTTTACAAATAGGAAAGCTGAGGTTCAGGGAGGTTGAATTGCTCTAAATGACACAGCAGGGTGCAGCAAGAATTACATCCCCCAAGTTATCTCAGTAATAAAACATACACTCTTAACTGCAATACTGCTCTGCCAAGCTTCAGGGAGGCCTGTTTAAAAGCCACCTGCTGTCAACTCTCCGGAGAGGAGGAGACGTTTCTGAACTTCTCTCTGCCCCTGGAAGTGCCAAGGTGAGGCCCTGAACAGCAGAGGCTCGGGTAACAGACAAAACTATGTTAAAATCCCAGCTGCTCCTCTTGGCTGTGAGACCTGAGAGGCATCTTCGTGGGGCTCAGTTCCACCATCTGAAAAGTTAAATGAGCTCAGAGATGTGAAAGACCTGCCCAAGAAGCTCAATGAAGGTCAGTGTCCTAGACACTGTGGCTCTTTCTCTTGCCCTGTTAACATCCAAGACTGAAGTCACTGGGGACAATGAGGTAAGTACAGAATCAGGATGTTTCTATCCATTTCTATGAGCAGGGAGTAAAAGGTCTGTTAGTGGAAGGGAGAGTAGGGATAATGGCGTGTATATTGTCCAACAGTCAGAGAGGGCTTTTGTGTTGACTCGGGTCCCATTGGAAGGGTACCTACTCTGTGCAAAGCCCTGTGCTCAGTGCTGGGGTCCAAAGGAGAATTGGATGCATCCCTGCCTCCTAGAGAGTGGGAATCTCTCGCTCATGTTCACTGCCATATCCCTCACCTCGTGCCTGGCACCCGTACTCCTCAATAAATATATGCGGAACAAATTTTTAGAACCACAGATTGGAGTCTAGTCTCACAACTAAGCAGGCAGTGAAAGCAGTGTCCATTCAACAAATATCTATTGAGCACTTGCTATGGCATCATGCAAAGACAGGCAATGGCCATGACCCAGGAAAGCCGAGGGATCTATGGGAGCACAGGAGAGGCCCCCAATTCCTCACGGGTAGAAGAGATGGCTTCCAGGAGGGAGTAGCCCCTGAGCTGAGTCTCCAGTGGGAGGGGTGAGGGAGGTGGGGAGAAGGGCGTGTGCAAAGGCACAGTGGTGACATGCTGAGAGCAAGTTTGGGACACTGCCGGCAGCTCCTATGGCCGGAGGGCGAGGGGCGAGGCTGGGAGGGAATGAGGCTGGCAGAGCCAGCAGGGCCACAGCACCAAGTAGTTCCAAGTAGTAGAACGGGAGCCACTGAGGGCTCGAGGCAGAGGATGACGATGGGATTGGCGCTGGAGGCAGACCGGCTTGCAGGTGAGCCAGGGACATGCGGGGGAAGCTGTGGTCATGGGGGTCCCAGCGAGGGCAGGGGGTGGAGAGTGACAGGCAATGGAGGAGATATCTATGGGGTAGGATCACAACGCCTTGATGGATGATTGAATGTGGAAGGAAGGGGAGGCAGGGGCCAGGAGGAGAGGGGTGTCCCCTTCTCTGACTCCAGACACAACGTGAATAGTGGGACCTGATCCCAGAATAGGGGACATGGGAGGAGCAAAAATATTTTTTTAGGGGGGGATAGGGGAATAAATAGGGAGAATTAAATAGGGGAGATAGGCCTAAATAGAGGGAGAAGGCCTCATGAGAAAAGGTGACGTTTACACCAAGCCACAGAGGAGGTGAGGGATGAGTTCCATGGATCTCCAGGGAAGAGCATCCCAGGCCGAATGTGCAGCTGGGACGGAGGGGAGGGGAGGGTGGGAGGAGCCAGCAGGGGAGGGGTGGGTGAAAGTAGTGCTGAGATTATCGATTTTTTACAGGGGAGGCCCAGAGGAGGACTTCGGCTTTGATTCTACATGATACGGCACGGGGAGACTCTGAGCTGAGGTGCGACATGACATGACTTGATATCCTAAGAGGATTTTGCCTTGTTAACACTAATGAAGACCAGTGCAGAAGAAGCAGTCAGGAGGCCATTGCAATGACCCAGGTGAGACAGGGTGGTGGCCAGGAGAGGTGGGAAGCCAGTGCCCAAGGGGGAGGCCCTGGAGTGAACCAAAATGTGCAGGGAGTGAATACAGCCACCATGACGAAAACTCCCCAGAGTGGGGCTTTGGCCACAGGGAAAGGGAAATGAAAACAGGAGAGGGCCAGAGGCCAAGAAGAGAGAAAGAAGTTTGGGAATAAGACAAGGACGTACGACCTTGGGTCATCAGAGCTTGGAAGTACCCTTGGAGAAATGGTGCAGCCAACCCCTGCCTGTTTAAGGGGAGCCTAGGCCCAGAGACAGACATGGATAAGCCCAAAGCCACACAGCAAATCAGTGGCAGAGCCAGGACCTGAACCAGCAAAGTTGAGCTGTGTTATCAGCTGATGTGCTGATTCAACAAGGCACCCCTACAGGTAAAGACTGGCAGAGTAAAGGCTCCAAGTCCTTTCCACGGGTAAGACAACTGTGGGCAGGAGAGGAAGGCCTGGTCAGATGTAGGCCCACATAGATGGGCCTGGACGTGCTGGCCACAGGGAGCTACAGGAGGTATGGGCGGGGAAGGGGCATACCTTGGGAGAGGCCGGCCCTGTGTGACCCAGTGCTTAAATAACAATGGGCCTCTGGGATTCGGGCTGCAGAGCCAGATGCCCCAGTGCCCTTTCCTCTTCCCACAGCCCACCAAGACATGGCGTCAAAGATCTTCTGTTGTTGCTGCCCAGCCAGCGAGGGGTCCTCTACCACTGCTGTCTCACGTAGTCCCAGGATATCCCAGCAGCATCAGCCGCGGTCCTTCAGTAGGTCCTGGAGTGGATGTGTGGTAGCTGGCAAGAACACTGGGGTTCCCTCTCTGGGTTTCGGTCTCCCCAGCCACCCCCCGCTAGGACACATCAGATTTCTTTCAGTCTTTGGGGGGTTTGGGACTAGTTACCCAAGCCCGTAATAGTGCAGCCTAATGATAATTTATTAGATATATTAGTTAAGATCACTGATGTTAGTCCTATATACTAGTTAAATTCTGCCTCAGCCACTTCCTGAACTTGAGTATGTCACTGAACCTCTCTCTCTGAGCTTCAGCATCGTTCTTTACAAACTGGGGATAATGATAGTACATTACCTACCTCTCAGGTTGTTGGGAGGGTGAGATGAGGCAACCTGTAGACATGCCTAGAATATGGCTCCACGTGGAGAAGGCACTCAGCAGACGCTGAGTGTATGTGTTCTGGTCAGGACCAGCAAAGCTATGCTGATGTAACAAGTAAACTACAAAGTCTCGCTTGCTTAACCCAGTTTGGGGTGTTTTTAGCTCAAGCAAGCAGACCTTTTTTTTTTTAAAGCCATCAATAACATGAGCAGTCCCCACGTGGGCTGTGACGAAGACTGTTTATCCATGTGTAATTCAAAGCCTTTACCGAGAATCAACATTTTCCTTCACTCTTTCAGATCTGAACACAGATTCTCGCAAGAATGGTTTCCAAAAGAGATACGCACACCACCCCGCCAACAACTGGATACTGAACAGATGCACTCTTGGGAGGCCCTGAGCATTCTAGTCGGCAGCGCCCATGCTGTGTGGCTGCTCGAGCAGCTCCTCCAGGAGGAAGGGGGCGGTGAGCAGGAGGCTATGAAGATGGATTCAGAAACTCCCCTGGAGGAGGAGGAGATGTCTGAGCCACCCCTGTGCCACCAGCAAGAGTCACGCCAGCCACTGCGGGAGGGGCTGCATCCAATTAAAGTCTCTGGTTGCATCACAGGACGGTGTCCCTCCTTCTTTCCCTTCCCCTGGTCCTGCTTCTGAGATTCCTTTGAATGTGGAGCAATTAGAACCTGGCATCTCTTGTAAAGAAATGTGGTTTAATCATTCTCAAACACTCTCAGTCACTCCTAACCAGCCTAACGAGGAAGTGCTTCGGAGAGGCCGGTGAGTGTAACGGATGGCTCTAAGTGGATGCTGTTAATAAACATCTAGAGCTTGAGGGCACAATTCTCATCTGCTGTGAGACTCCATTTGGGGCTCAGGGCCATCATGAACAGTGGGGCAGGTTGCGCACAACTCTGCAACGATCCAGCAGCCCTAGGGTAATGCAACACACCGCCGGTGCAGAGGTACCGCGATGCTTGCGAAACACAGTGCATACGCTGGAGACCCTGCGTGGCTCCACCTTTAGCCAGTGAACCAGGCACGGGAGCCTATCACCTCAACATAATAGGACAATTTGGGGGGAGTAAAAGAATGGGAAGCATGTGGCAACCAACATGGGGGTTTGGGGAAGGCTTCCTGGAAGAGACAGTTGCTTGAGTTTTCTGGGTGTTGAAAGGGAACTCACCAGGCAGACAGGAGGGGTATGGTATTCCCGAAGGGGGAACGAAATCAACGAAGTTGGAAGACAGAGGCACAATGTGGTATGGGTGTGAAGGTAGCGAACTTCCATGTTTGGAATGACTAAAGTGAAAACTTATAGAAGGCTCTGAAGGTTACACCAAAGGCAGTGGCAGAGCTGAACCTTGAACCCAGGAAGCCTGATTCCAGAGTTGACACTCTTAACCAACCAGTTATGCTGCCCTTCACAATGACGGGAGAGTGACATCCAGTTAATGCTCTTGGCTCCCAAATGGGCTGTGCATTGCCTGCACTTCAAACAGGGAGCTGGGCCCTTGAAATCTTTTTCCTTTGGCAACTGGTACAATGTTAAGCCTTGTCAGTAGGAGGCACTGGAGACACTTGAGGAAGAAGGGTCTTTCCCTCCTGGTTCCAGTGCACTCATCTTAGCAGGCTCCTGCAGTCCACGCAGTTCCTCCAATCATCTGGTTTTGGCAGTGCACACGGCTTCCCAAGCACCCAGTTCCTGCTGTGCAGAAGCTTCTCCAACATCAAGCTCCTGCAGTGGAGACAACTTTCCAGCACCCAGATCCTGTGTGGTGGTTAGTAGTACTTAGCAGTGAACAGCTTCTCCCAGTGCCCACCAACAAACTGGGAAGTACCTCCATCTCTCTATGATAGCTTTCCCTGGCACCTTCAAGTGCAGATTTCTAGAACATTCTATCAACACAGCAGCTCAGAGATTTCTCTGCATCCAGGAAGCCATAGCTATGCTATGTCCTTCCCTACAAGGTCCAGATTTCACCTGGGGACAGGGTGTGGAGGGAACTTCCTTGGGGGCTCGCTCTCCACCCAAGGGGTGGTAGCTAGCTGTTCCTTCCATGGGCCCATGGGCTTTTCTATATTCTTTGGCATCTCTTCTTACTTACCAATCCATTATGCAACTTCCCTGTTACACTTAATCATTCTTTCTATCAAACTTCCCATATTCGAATGACCGTGTAGTTTTTGCCTTCTGATGGGACCCCGATTGACACAAACACCTCAGGAGAGGCGGCCAGGGTGGTTAGCCACAAGAGGAGCCCCGGGACGGAGAGGAGAGCCCCGAGTTACAGTAGATTTCTCAGGCAAAGCTGGCCAGTTCCTAACTCAGAAGCATACAGAGAAGAAGGTTCTGGGAAAGGAGGTTCTTGACTTCTGCCACGCAGAGAACTGAGAAGGGAGGTGGGCTTGAGGTCAGGTTGACAACACACAGAAGATCATTTCACCTTGCGCTAGGTCAAGCTGCAGGAGCCTAGGGGATGTCTAGGGGGCCACCACTTGAAGGAGGCTGGAAATACATAGCTGGAAAGGATAAAAGAACAATGGTTGGAAGGAAGCAAGAGGGCTTGCTAATTGCGTATGCCTTATCAGTTCAGTAGGCTCAAGCACCTCTTCCACTCAGGGGAAGACACCCCGGGAGCGTCGGTCAGGTGGAGAGAAAGTATGTTCCCCTGGGGCCCCTTTGTCCTCCATCCTTCTCTCCTACCAGTTGTCACACTGCACGCCCGGGACCCACCCTCTGACCCAGCTTCTTCTCATCCTATGCATTCCTCCCCACCTGCCATGCAAGGGCCCACCTTCCTTCCCCAGAGAGCCCCCGTGTTCCCGAGGTGCTGGAACGGTGGCCTGCAGCAGGTGCTCCTGAAATGTCACTTCCTGCTCTGATCATTTAGAAGCCTCTCCACAGAGGGATGAGAAATCTATCCCAACCCTACTCTTCTCAGAAGCAAAAGTAAATCCACTCTAAAGGATTATCCAGAGTCTTGTATATCTCTTCAATTGTTCACTTTTTAAAAGGAGTCTAGCACTCAATCAAAAGATACCAAGAACACCAGAAGATAAGAGAGACCAACTGACCGAAAAGCAAAAGAAATGCATCTCACAGAAGAACCAGAAACTGGAGTCAGCAAACATGCACTTTAACATATTGAAGAAAACAGGCGACGAGATGGGTAATTTCATCTGAACACTGTAACCTGTATTAAAAAGTTAATTAAACATCTTAGGACTGGATCCCAGGCGAGCTGAAATGAAGAACTCAATCGAAAGGATTAACCACCTATCGTTAACACAAAGGAAGGCAGGAGGAATGAAGCAGAACGGAGCAGTAGAAAACGTTGAGACTGAATCATGAAGAACCAAAACCATGGGAAATGCAGAGCCATCGAGATGCAGAGAAAAGTTGTTCGACACATGGCATGAGAGCCTCAGAGGGAGATGAGAAAGAACAGGGGAGAAGCTACGATGGAAGAAGCCGTGTCAGGGATCCCAGATGTGTCGGGGAGCCCAAGCAGGAGAAGCTAAAGGAAGCTACACCTGGATGCACACACCACGCCTGCCAAAGCCCCCAGCAGATCAGAAGAGCAACAGACAGAGAGCTGACTTTGCAAATGCAAACAAAGCAAGCCAAGGACATCTTCCAAAGTTGATGTGGTCGTGGGGGTTTTTTTTGACATCTTCCAAAGTTGGTGTGGTCGTGGGGTTTTTTGACATCTTCCAAATTTTTATTTATTTTTATTTTTTTAGAATGAGAGACAGAGAGCATGAGAGGGAAGAGGGTCAGAGGGAGAAGCAGACCCCCTGCTGAGCAGGTAGCCCGATGCGGGACTCAATCCCGGGACTCCAGGATCATGACCTGAGCCGAAGGCAGTCGCTTAACCAACTGAGCCACCCAGGCGCCCAACATCTTCCCAATTTTTAAAGAAAATAGCTGTAGTGCCCTAGAATTCTTGATGCACCAAAAATATAGAGGCTTTTCGGCAAACAAAAACTCCCATCTGTCAGCCGAGAGTCTGTATGGGAAGGAAAATGCCAAAGGTAGTTCTAAATGTACTGCATACTCTCCTGGACTGAAGAAAAATTCCAAAGGTAGTTCCAGGAAAAGGAGAATAATCATGGATAAATGTGTGGAAATGCAGGAAGAAACAAAAAGTAAAAGGTAACAGATAAAGAGTAATAAAAAGTAAACATGGGGATAAATCTAAGTGCTGGTTATATAATAATGTCTGTTGTGGTTTAAGACAGAGAATTGAGGGGCGCCTGGGTGGCTCAGTTGGGCGTCTGCCTTCAGCTCTGGTCACGATCCTGGAGTCCCGGGATCGAGTCCCACATCGGACTCCCTGCTCGGCGGGGAGTCTGCTTCTCCCTCTGACCCTCCCCCCCTCATGCTCTCTCTCTCTCTCAAATAAATAAATCTTTTTTAAAAAAAAAAGTGAACTAAGAGATACGTTCACACAAAAACTTATACGTAATTGTTCTCAGCAGCATTATTCACAGAAGCCAAAAAGTGGAAACCCAGCTGAAGAAGGATAAACAAAATGGGATATATCCATGTAATGGAATATCATTCAGGAATAATAAGGAATTAATAATTAATCATAAGGAAAATGATACATGCTATAACATGGAGGAATCTTGAAAACATTTTGTTACTACTAGAAAAGCTTGACATAAAAGGACATATACTGTATGTTTCCATTTATAGGAAATGTCCAGAAGGGGAAAATCCAGAGATAGAAAGCAGATCAGCAGTTGTCAGGGCTGGGGGGCGGGGGGGACAGAGCGACTGCTAATGGGTATGGGGTTTTGGGGGGAGGCATGGGGAAGGTGATGAAAATGTTCTAGAATAAAATAGTTGTCATGGGGGCGCCTGGGTGGCTCAGTTGGTTAAGCGACTGCCTTCGGCTCAGGTCATGATCCTGGAGTCCCGGGATCGAGTCCCGTGTCGGGCTCCCTGCTCGGCGGGGAGTCTGCTTCTCCCTCTGACCCTCTTCCCTCTCGTGCTATCTCTCATTCTCTCTCTCTCAAATAAATAAATAAAAAATCTTAAAAAAAAAATAGTTGTCATGGTCATGCAATCCTGTGAATATACTGAAAACCACTGAACTGTATACTTTAAAACGATGAGTTTTGGGGGGCGCCTGGGTGGCTCAGTCAGTTAAGCATCAGACTCTTGGTTTGGGCTCAGATCATGACTTCACGGTCATGAAATCAAGCCCCAAAAGGCTCAGCATGGAGTCTGCTTGGGATACTTTCCCTCTGCCCCTCACTCATGTGCGTGCGCATGCTCTCTCTCTCTTCTGGAAAAAAAAAAAATCTTTAAAACAGTGAGTTCTGGGACTTCCACTCGTGCGTGAGGCAAGCGGAGCCAGAGTCAAGACCAGAGGCCGAACTCGGGATCTGACAAGATGGCCGGGCTGCCCCGCAGGATTATCAAGGAAACCCAGCGTTTGCTGGCAGAACCAGTTCCTGGCATTAAAGCAGAACCAGATGAGAGTAACGCCCATTATTTTCATGTGGTCATTGCTGGCCCCCAGGATTCCCCCTTCGAGGGAGGGACTTTTAAGCTTGAACTATTCCTACCAGAAGAATACCTGATGGCAGCCCCTAAAGTACATTCCATGACCAAAATTTATCATCCTAATGTAGACAAGTTGGGAAGAATATGTTTAGATATTTTGAAAGCTAAGTGGTCCCCAGCACTGCAGATCCGCACAGTTCTGCTATCGATCCAGGCTTTGTTAAGTGCTCCCAATCCAGATGATCCATTAGCAAAGGATGTAGCGGAGCAGTGGAAGACCAACGAAGCCCAAGCCATAGAAACAGCTAGAGCATGGACTAGGCTATATGCCATGAATAATATTTAAAATCGATCTGATCATCAAGTTCTCCTGTTCTCCTGTTCTGCCAAGACTTCTTCCTTTTTTGTTTGCATTTAATGGACACAGTCTTAGAAACATTACAGAATAAAAGCCCAGACATCTTCAGTCCTTTGGTGATTAAATGCACATTAGCAAACCTATGTCTTGTCCTGATTCACTGTTGTAAAGCATGAGCGGAGGCTAGAAGTACCATCCGGATTGTTGTGAAACGTTTAAAAGCAGTGGCCCTTCTCTGCTTTTACTCATTTCCCCCATCATGGTTTGAGTACAAAGCACTGTGAATGAAGGTAGTTGTCAGGGTTAGCTGCAGTGGTGTGGGTGTTTTTATTACTTTTTTTCAGGGGGAGAGGTAGTTTTATTTTAACTTTATGGGCTCCTTTCCCTTTTATGGTGATCTAATTGCATTGGTTAAAAGCAGCTAACCAGTTCTTTAGAATATGCTCTCTAGCCAAGTCTAACTTTATTTAGATGCTGTAGATGGACAAGCTTGATTGCTTGAACCAAAATGGGAACATTAAACAAACATCACAGCCCTCACTAATAACATTGTGACTTGCTGTCAAGTGTGGAATCCTTCCTTCAAGAAAAAGCTTGTGACCATTTTGTATGGCTTGTCTGGAAACTTCTGTAAATCTTATGTTTTAGTAAAATATTTTTTGTTATTCTACTTTGCCTTTGTACAGTTTATTTTACTGTGTTTATTTCATTTTCCCAATGTGACAATCGTATTTAAAAATTAAAACTGATGGAACATTCTCTTTTGGTCTTCACCATCTGACAAGTTGATCCGGCAGGAGGTGGATTTTGCCAGTTTCTTTTCCCTGATGCAAACTTGTGTTAAGATGTCACTGATTGGAGTATTTATAAGCTGGCCCTGAGCATGCATAAAGCATTGGTATTTGATATTTTTTTTACCTCCTAGAAATCTGAATAAATGTGTTTGTGTTGTCTGATTAGATGATAAGTGTCTTGCCATGATGTTTGAAACTTACTGTACAGGAGAGTCACAGCAAAGCGGCAGTTGTGACTGACTGGGTAGGACTCACACGTTGTGCCACATCTGTTTGTGTCTGGCATTTGGGATATGACCTTTTTCTTAGTTCTTGTCTGGAAACTTCATGTGTAACCACTGGTATGTGCTACTAGGAAACACTAATCTGATAATCATTTGGGGTTGCTGAGCCATTTATGAGGCTTCCTTATAGACCTGATGAGCAGATCTCAAGCAGCCAGCTTGCGTAAGTGTCATCTGAAAGGTTTCTTCCTTTGAGAGTTATCAGATCCTCAGTTAATGACTCTTTCATCCTTCAGTATTTGCTGTGGGAGCTCCTATTGTTTGATATTCAGTAATTTTTTTCTGCATTGACAGAGTTCCTCCCCTCAAAAAACCATTCTTTCCCACCCTTCTCCATATCGAATTCCCTATCCTTGTTCTTTGTAAGTCCTCAGTGTAGCCAGTCCTGAGTATGTAAATGTTAACCCGCAGGTTGGAACCTTTGTCTCTCGCAATTTAAGGTGTTGGATATTGTAGCCCGTCTGAATTTCCCCCACTCTTGATTCTCATAACTTCTGGAGTTTCTTCAGAATGTGGTGTATTTTACTGTGCTCCTATGTAAGATGAAGAATTATCTATTACAATTACATTTTCAACATAAAAAAAACCAGTGAGTTTTATGCTATGTGAATTACATCCATCTCAATTTTTTAAAACAATGTAAAAAAAAAATGTGTCAGAAGTAAAAGGCAAGGGGCGCCTGGGTGGCTCAGTCGTTAGGCGTCTGCCCTCGGCTCGGGTCATGATCCCGGGGTCCTGGGATCGAGCCCCACATCGGGCTCCCTGCTCCGCGGGAAGCCTGCTTCTCCCTCTCCCACTCCCCCTGCTTGTGTTCCCTCTCTCGTTGTGTCTCTCTCTGTCAAATAAATTTTAAAAAAGAAGAAAAAGAAGAAGTAAAAGGCAAAACAGAAAATCTACAATCGTACTTGGAGATTTTCCTCCCTCAGTCACTGATAGCACAAACAACCTGAAATGGGTAAGGACGCGGATTTGAGCAACGCAGGTCTGAACGGGCACTAACAGACACGGGGAGCAAACAGCATGCGGCAGCGGCACAGAAATTCGGTCACTGATGGAGCCCTGACTTTGGACCATACTATGGCCCAGACCTTGTACTTCCCATGCAACACCTCAGTTAGTCGCCCTAGCCTCACACTCTCCCTTATGGGTGAAGAAATGGAGGTACAGGAGGAATAGAGAGGGTGAGCATGTGGCCCAAAGTCACCAGCTTGCTGCTACCTCCCGGTACTGAATTTCAGAGAGATTGGACTAGAAGCTTTATTCACATAAACACATCCCACGGTGCTGGAGTAACTGAGGTCTTATGCAGACTGGATAAACATTAACTGTTGATGATCTACTACATCAATAAATACATATATATATATATCCTGGGCACCTGCGGTATATAAGACATAGTGAGAGATTAAAAAATAATAATAATAAAATAAAATAAAATATATATATATACATATAGCAACAATTTATTGTGCTCTTACTCAAGCTTGCAACTCAAAGTTGCAAGTACTTTACATTTCATCTTCACAATACCTGCCAAGGAGGTACTCTTATCCTCATTCCACACATGAGGAGTGACACCCAAGGATGGGAAGGACGCTGCTCCAAAGAGCAGCACCTGGATCCGAGTCAGTCTAGAAGCCAAGCTCTGAGTCACACCCTCCGCTCCCCTATCAAGACACCACCTCCATGCCTGTCCTTGGCACACAGCCTTAAAGCAGAGCGTGTCCACTGATGGGTTCTGATCCTCACACAACCCTGGGAGGCAGGCAAGGCAGAGATCACAGGATTTTCTAAATGGGGAAGCCAAGGGGCAGATGCAAAGGAAGTTCCTGGGGGCACACCTGAGTGTTCTACCCACCACTTAAACCACCAGAAACTTGGAGAGGAAAAGGCAGGAAAGAACCCTCCCAGGAGGGTCCCGTAAGTCAGCCTTGAAATGCAGAAACAGCTGTTCCGTCATTTAACAGACACATTTTTATTCTCTTACGAGACTTACCAGGGTTTTATGGGTGGATGACAAAGACGGGCTTCTACAGATCCTGTCCCCAGCCCACATATCCTCTGCAGCAGGTGAGAAGGACAGCAACTGCCTCCACGAGTTACTCTTACTGAGCATAGCTGCCCTCGGAGAAATCTCTAAAGAGAAATGTCTACAATGGCCATTTCCGAGGGTGGGTCTATGTCCACAATTTCTCTTCTCTGGCTCAGAGAAAGAAAACGGTCAGACTGGTCTCTTACACAGCAAGTCACCCACACAATTACCTTTCATGTTCACCAGATCCATTTACAAAGGAGTAAACCGGCCCTCGGACAGGGTAAGTGACGTAAGCCAATGGTCATGCTTCTAGGAAGCTTCTCACCTGGGATGAGTATCCAGGTCTCCTGCTCGCTAGGCCTGTGTTCTGTCCAAAGGCCCATCAGGTCTGGGACACCTTGGTCATGCAAGGCTAGAGGACTCTCTACATGTAGATAAAAACATAACAGGCCAAGGGCTAGACTGGAACAGAAAAAGCCAGAACTTTGGCTTTGGAAGGGCAATTAAGAATCATCCAACCTGTCCACTATATATCCTTTTATATAACGATGAGTAAACTGAGGACTGGCTGAAAGTTGCACAGCCAGAAATGTCAGTCAGGACCAGAACCCAGATCTGTGCCAACTTCATCATTCAACCGAGTAGAGAGCACAATCTGCAAATGTTACTATGGAGATGACAAAGCACTCAATCCACTGGATTTTTTTTTTTTCTTAGCAGGTCCAGGCCATGCACAAAAATTATAAGGTGGGCTCTTTGTCCTTCAGGAGCTTAGTCTAGCTCGAAAAATACACATGTGCGTAGGAAAACAGAATAACACAAAACCTCAACAAAGGCAGCAGCTACATTAAGAATTTAAAGGAGGCAGAGAAGGAGGGCATGTTCTATGTTGAAAGGCTTCATGAAGGAGGGGTAAGTAAAGCTGGGCTTTGAAGCATGCACAGGAGTTCAACGGACGCAACGGAATAGGTATGTTAGTCCAGGAAAGAGTTTCAATTTAGCAAGAAGTTCTGTGGGAGATGAAGCCAAAACCACAGATGAGGGCTGGGTCCTGGAGGTTGGGGAGCCTTTGCATGCCAGGGCAGGTCTTTTGGATTTGGGCCTATGGAATAATTGGTCTTCAAACTTGCTCAGGAGCAGAGAACCTGGAAGCCCCCGAGCTCTTCATGGAACGCCATGAGTGACAGATTATGCTTCATTCCAGGACAGTGTTAGTGTCAGAAAACACAGGACTGTGGCTCCAGGCCTGAAGGAGAACACCACAACCACAAGCATGCATGCCTTTAAACAAAAGACATCCACAAATCAGAATCAATCTTTTCCAAAGAGTTCCATCATCAGTTACATGCTGTTGGTTTCTTTCTTCTGCCCCCTGGAAGTGTGTGTGCTAGCAAACAACATGGGGCCATTGTTTTTCATAAAATAAAGGGCAGGAGAAACTTGAAAGTGGAGAACATTCTGAGAACTGACTTCTTCCCTTTCAGATTAGGAATTCTAGAGGACCAAGGTAATGCTACAGAGAGCAGAGTCCTCTCCAAGGCTCAGTTTCCCCATCTGACATGAAGTAGCTAAGGATGGGAGCATCATCGGAGACCAAGCTTTGGACACATGGTTGGCCCAGTAGGGTCCTCTTCACATTTCCTGGGCTCTCCAAACAATGAAAGCATGGGAGAGTGGCCTTCCATCCGTGCCCCTGGTTCTAGGCAGCACAGAGTAGTCTGGAGTGGGACCAGCTTGGCTACCAGCAGCTTCTGAAAAGGTCAGGGGTCAGCATGGGATGTCAACAGGCATTTCTGTGCAGAGTCCAGGAGTGAGCACGATACCACCCCTGCCACTGACATGACTGACACTCTTCAGCGTGTTCCTAGGTGCTTCTCTCCTCACCTAGGGGCTCGCCTGCAGCCAGCTGGGGCGCCAAGCCTTCCCGATGTCTCACCTTCAGTCTTGCAGGAAGCTGGGTGCCTTCCTCCCTAGGTCACCTGGCCAGGAAGGGGCAGCACCCAGTGCCCAGGATATGGGCTTCTATGAGCTGGCAGGGGCAGGGAAACCTTGCAGAGTCTGTGTGTCGTGTCCCCATTGCCTGGGGGAGCTGCGAGGTCACCAGGAGCCGGATGTAGTAGCCACCAAATACCGCCAGCAGGTGCTGGGCCATTTCCTGGAAGAGGCAGGGGAGCAGAGTGAGGGCCACCGAGAAGCAGCTCATGCACGATGGGAAAGCCAAGTGGTCCTCAGAGCCCTGGACCAGCAGAGATGCTCACTGGGAAGAACCCTGCCAGGCCCTCACCTGGGGCTCCTGGGAGACGCCTGGACTGGTCTGGACCCCCAGCTCCGCTACTCACCCCATGGGGATGCCGGCAGCCTCAGCTTCCCCACCTCTAAGGTGGGTCACCTAACTGCTCAGAGGCAATAAGAATAACCACAAAAAAGCCATGGAGCCTCAGAGTTCTAGAGAAGTGACCACTGATTTATACCAACCAATCTCACGCGCACTGTTTCCAGCTCCAAATGACCACGAGACTATAAAGTGCATGGGGTCAAGGTAACGCACTTGATATTAGTCATTAGTAAATGGGGGTGGGGTGAGGGGATCATTCCCATGCTGGCAGTATCCCTCAATTCATACCAGGCACCTGCTGGATTTCTTGAGACAAGTACTCCTACCAGACTAAGAGTTTCTTTTAAAAAGTAGATTTATCACAAGAAAGACAAATAGTGTATATATGAGTTTACTTATCTGAAGCAGGTAGTAGTAAATTCAGAGACAGAAATGTGCTTTCCAGGGGCTGGGGGAAGAGGAAAAGGGGGAAGTTCGTGTTTTGTGGGTATGGAGTTTCAGTTTGGGAAGATGAAAAGGTTCTGGAGGTGTTTCATGCTGATTGTCGCACAACAATGCAAATGTACTTACGGCCCCTGAATCATACATTTAGAAATGGTTATGGTGGCAAATTTTCCACTATATATATTTTACTGTAATGAAAAAAAAATTTTAACAGTAAAAAAAAAAGAATTTAAAAAATTGGATTGAAGGGGCGATTGGGTGGCTCAGTCATTAAGCGTCTGCCTTCGGCTCAGGTCATGATCCCAGGGTCCTGGGATCGAGCCCCACCCGCATCAGGCTCCCTGCTCAGCGGGAAGCCTGCTTCTCCCTCTCCCTCTCCCCCTGCTTGTGTTCCCTCTCTCGCTGTGTCTCTGTCAAATGAATAAATAAAATCTTTAAAAAAAATTATAAATAAAAAAAATTGGATTTAACGCAAGCTCTTATTAACACATCTGGTCTCTTAAGTTCTATTTGTTGGACGGGCAGTTGGGATCCCAGAGGAAACGCTTGGTCCCGTCGGCGTGACACTGAGCATTTTTCAGTCTCTGTGTCCAGGTGAATGTAATAAAGTAAGGTGTGGGTCACATCAGGCTGTTCACATCGGGGCAGGGGGGCGGTCAGTGATTGAAAAGAGACTTCCGAATCAAAGGGCCTGAGTGGGCATTTCTGCCGGGCACCCTATGACAGACCCTGACAAGTCACTTCCCCTTGCTGAGCCCTTTTCTTCAACAGTAAAAGAGAGAAAATCACAGCACCTATCTGGTCTAGCTGGAGGGAGGATTAAAGGAACTATTCGATAGAAAGTCCCCCACCTCGTGCTCAGTGTCACCAACATCATCATCATTATCATTATTCTAGAAAGCAGAAACCCCACCTAGCTCTGTAGGGTTGGTGCTTCCTTTGAGTCACCCTTGGTGCTAGAAAAATACTGAAAACCTCAAGTAGTCTACTACTCCCTAACTCAGATTTATCTCCTGGCCAATCTACTCTAAAATGAAGAGCGTAAGGGAAGAACTATGGCAAGAAAACCGTACTTAGAATTCGCAGGGCTGGCTTCTGCCCCTGGCTTGGCAACATTCTCCCTTGCTCTCTGACCTTGGGCAGGTCAGCTGACCTCTTGGAAGCTTATTTCACCCAACCAGGAAGAAGGAAAAACACTCCATACCCAGGAGGGTATGCTGAAGGATTTTATGTATGATGAGAAAATCTGCTACAATGTAAGAGGTGATTATAACTACTTCTCTGTCTTTCAGAGGTGCTGGTTTCCTGTTGAAATATGATGGTCTGGCCCATGCTGAGACTCGGGCACTGATTATATTTTCCCTACCTAAGTTATAGAGGGCAGCTACTTTAAAAACATGTGCGCACACACTTGATATTCATGACAGAGTATCATATTACCATTGGTTTGAATGAATTTGAAAAAATAATTTTAAAAATCCATCAGATTTAACAGGCTATGTCATATCCCAGGCTTGCCACAATAAGTACATGACCTTATCAATCTTTTTTGTACTCTTAAAAAAAAAAAAAAAACGGCAGTGGGGGCGCCTGGGTGGCTCAGTCAGGTAAGCAGTTGCCTTCAGCTCAGGTCATGATCCCAGGGTCCTGGGATCGAGCCCCGAATCAGGCTCCTTGCTCGGTGGGGAGTCTGCTTCTCCCTCTCCCTTTGCCCCTCCCTGCTGCTGCTTGTGCCCTCTCTCTCGCTCTCTCAAATAAGTTAAATCTTTTTTAAAAAATAAAATAAATTAAAATTTACAAAGTCAGTGGGATTCAAGTGAAGAGATTAATCTATTTATCATTTTCTCTTTTGATGGGTCCCATTTGTCAGATCCCCTACTCCTCACCGAGGCAAAAGGGAAAGTCTGGGCTGGTTTGGGCCTTTAATCCCCAAATCTGTTGGCTGAAAAGAAAACCCAGGTGCCTCCCTGCATCACAGAATGCCTGAAGTCACCCCTTGGTGCTTGTCTCCCAGACAGTGAGTCTTGTCCCCACAGAAGACACAAGCTGAAAACCACATTATCAGAGATACCTGGTCTACCAGCACTTGTCCATACCCAACAGAGAGCTTGGGTGGCAGGACCTGACAGAACTCTGGGGCTGGGGACACTGGAATTCAACAGAAATGCATATAAGAAAAAGCATATATATCTGACTGCAATTTAAGCAGGTGGATGGATAGATGACAGACTGATTGCAAAACAGATTTTAAAAATGACCCAAATATTCACGATCACGTTTATGGCTATGTAGGCTACGACCCATCAACATGCAACTAGATATCCCATGGAACTACCAAAAAAGAATATCCAAGATATTTAAAGATGGGCGAAAAAACCAGGAAGTAGAAAATGATTCCTATAAACTATTTTTTAAAGTGCTAGAGTAAGGAAAAAAAAAAATACTAAGAACTAGTAGGCTAGAAGATTTGCACAGCTTCTACCAACTCAGTGAAGTCATGTTCCCTGGGATTTATAACTTGAGGCCCCACATGGACTCCACACAAATGTCCTGGAAGGAAAGATGGCCCTGAACAGCCCAGGGGCCCCTTACCTCCGGCTCAGCCTCAGGAACAAGCTGGCGAAGCTCAGTCTGCATGAGTGGCCTCTCCTCGGGATGAGGGCTGCCGGGCAGTAGAGGAGCTTCCTCCAACAGGTTCTCGGGCCCCTCCTCTGTCTCGGGGCTCACCCCAGTTTCCATGACAACACACAGCTGGCTCAATCTGCTTCGCAGCAAGGACTGAAAAAGAGAGGGGACGTGGATGGTGTCCCAAGGTGGGTGGTATGTCAGAGGCTGAGTCACTCCCGGCGCTGCAGACTCACAAAGGACTGGTGGATCCATCTACGGACTCAGATGCTTACCTCAGGAGAATCTGGAACTCAGCCACATTCGAGAGGTCAGATAATTGCCTACAAAATTCCCTACAGTCTCTAAGAGGTTCCAAAACACTTTTCCGTCCATTTGCTCTTCAAAGCGGCCTGCGTCATGGGTTATCTTGATATATACCTTGCAGGCGAGTGAAGCACAGCTCAAAGGCCTTGCCCAAAGCCATACAGGGATGAATGGGCTGGGATTGGGCTAAACCACAATCCTAACCTCAAGACCCATGACAGCACTTACAGGGCCCAGGGAAAGGCTGATCCCAAGGAAGGAGCCCAGGGCTCGGAGACAGGAGGGTTGCGCTCCAAACCTGGCATCACCAACCAGCCCCGTGGCTGCCTTTGGGGGGCCACAGGACTTCTCAGAGGCTCAGTGTCCTTGTGTATGGGATCAGAGTAAGAGCACCCTGATCATAAATGGAAGGAAGGCATTTCAAACAAGTGAAAGTCGTCTAAATACCTGGTACTTCCCTCTGCCAGACTCGTATTACTACTATTAATTGTTAATATAATTGTTATCAGGAAATGTGGAAAATGCAACTAACTGAAATCTTGTTAAGAAAGAACAATTCCCTAAGCAGAAACGACCACTGATTCCAGGTAGGCATTCTTCCTTCCAAGTAACGTCTCCTTAGACATTTTTCCAACCTTAAGGAAATGCAATCTGTACAATTTGGCCTCCTGGTTTATTTTTGTTTGTTCTTTCATTTATGGTATCTTACCTCTTGGCTCATCTTCATCTCTTGAATGTGGTCACACAAAAACTGCACACAGTCCTCCAGGTCGAAGTAGACAAACCAGAGCTGGGGAGAGAAGCCATGACGGCAGAGGCTCAAAGCCAGCCCGACCTTGAACTCTCCCGTCCCTGACACTACCTTCCACCTCCTGCCTCCTCCTTGCCAGAGGTCTGCCCCTCTGGGGATGAGCAAATTTATGCCCGGTCTCTGGTAGGACCATGCCTCTCTGCTCTCGCCCAGAGTCCTCATAACACAGCAGAGAGTCCCTTGTACAGATGGGAGAAAAATGGCTTTGTGTGCACATTTGGAAAATGTCCAACCCTGTTCAAAATGGCCACAGCTCCATTTGCTCCAAGTCACTGAGCATCCCAAACCATCCTGGACATCATGTATCCAGCTGGGGCTACCTCCTTCATCCTCAGGTGCTGGGGTGCCCTGCTGTCTGGAGCCCCACAGGCAGATGAGTGAAACACTCCAGTCACTCACCCCTACTGCCCAAGGCCAGGCGGGAGCAGATCCAACTTGGGTGCTCTGGGAGCGGGGGAGTGGGGTAAATGTTCACCCCACCTTTACCTCCCCTTCCTCCTCAACCTCAACAGTCCCCAGAAGGTCAGGTGAAACGCAGCCAGGCCGACACCCCCCCCGCCATGTACACTCATTACATCTGGTTGGGACCACACCTGCATCACATCATACCTGAAGTTCTGAGAGAAACTGACGGCCCATGCCTCACGCCTCCAGCGACTGACAGCTTCCTCTGGATCCCAGACCTCCCTCCTCCCAGTGACTGACCCATGAGACCCAGGGTAGCAACCCTCTTGCCGACTAGTCTCTCCCATTGTCTCCCTGACCCCCTGTGTGACCTCAGACTTGTCACTTAAGATCTCCCCGGTGCACTTGGAACAAAGAAAATGACCGAGCCAGGTAGACAAAGCCTCAGGGTCTGATGTGCCTCTCCAGGAACCTTGCATGGGCCCCTGAGTGCCTGTCGAAGGGCCTGGCACAGAGGAGGCCCCCTCTGTTTGCTGAATAAATGCTGAATAAGGAGCATGGCTTAGACGGTCTCCGAGTTCCCTTCCAGCCCTGCCCCGTGCAGCTTCCAGGCTGCGGGTCACCACCCAGAGATGGGTCTCCGGGAAGAAGCGCTGGAGCAGGGAGCAACGGAAGGGCTGCCCACGCTTGTCTCATTAGCAGACTCCAAGACACCATGCAGACCAGGGGATCCTGGGGCCGCGTCTCCCCACCAACCCAGCCCTAATGGGGGCACCCAAGCCGAGGTCACTCCCAGACACAGTACCTGAATCACACTCTGACAGCCTTCCACCGTGTCCGTCACCCCCAGCAGCACCCGGTGTCTCAGGAGGGCTCCGTTGGCAGCCGCCAGCCTAAGGTCTGTGTTGCTGTTGGCCTATAAGACAAACACCAGGCTTGTGGCCTGATCCCCACGCTGTCAGGGAGCTCCTGGGCACTGGGCAATACCCACACACTGTCCCGCCTCTAGACGCCATGGGGCAATCCTGGCCTTTGAGACATACCCATCGCCCCCCACCCTAAAATGGGATTGCGGGGTTTGGGGGACAATAAATTCAATAGTGTCAGACAGTCCTGGGTTGAAGCCCAGCCCTGCTACCTCCCAGCTGTGTGGCCCTGGACAAGTTACACTCCTTCCCCGAGTCTTGCTTTCTTCAGTTGTAGAATAAGGAGAAAGAGTGTCAGGGTGTCCCTGCCTCCTAGGAACACGGTGAGCTTGAACGTGACTGTGTGTGCACTCTTAACCAGTGCCCGGGAACAGTCTGCTGTGCTGACAGAGATATATCTGCAGGAGGAAGGGGGGTGGGGGGGTGGGCAGGTTTGAGAGCTGCTTATTGTGTAAATAAAGCACCTACTTTCCAAAGCACCGAGCACAGCGCGTGGCCCTCGGAAGGAGATTCTGGGAATCCATCTCCCTTCTTTCCTACCCAAACCATCCAGACACCATGGATCTAGTTGACTAAGTAGATGCTAACTAAGCAGGCCGGGGAGGGGAGGAGGGAGGAGGAAGGGTGTCAGGACCCAAAGTGCTGGTTTGGGGTAGAGACCCCGTAAGGATTTAGAGACGCAACTAGATGACAACCCCATCAAGGACAATCGAGGTCCCCAGGAGGGCAGGACTTCTGCAGGGAGCGTTTGAGAATGCAAGAAGTCCCTGTGGTTGTCACAGGGATGGGACGGGCTATGTTGGCACTTAGGGACGGGGACCAGGGATGCCTTCCGCCGAAGGCCGTGTCCCATGAGAGACGATCCCGCACTCGGAAGAGCAGTCTCCTGCCCTACCCAGATTCCACGTTCCCCACCGGGCGTGAACACAGGTGAAAAATCTACTCACGGTTCTGAACGGCCAACCCAGGTCCATTTGACATGGAAACCTAAAGTGTTTTTTTATTTTTTAAATGGATCTAAAATATAGTGAATTTTCCAGGGATGCCACAACTAGGAAAACATGGGGTGAGTACATTTTGTTTAGCCTGGAGCCTTAGCAAGGGTTGCACAACCTTTCCAAAACCTGCGCCTCGGGGAGTTCAGACCTGGGCTCTGCCTCTCACCGCCTGGTAACCTTGGCCAAATTACCCCCACCTCTCCATCTCCATCTCATCTCTCAAAAACGCCCTCATCCTATGAAATGAGCCAACCCGTGTACAACCCCTAGAAGAACAAACACACAATGCCCGTCAGCTCATGACATCAGTTCAGTGATGATACTGAGTCGAAAATATCTTTTCCCCCTGTATCTTGTTGGCCACAAACGATTATTTTTAGGAACTTCCCACACGCTTTAGCAACATGCTTTTACTCCGTCTGTGATACAAGGCAGGGTCTTGCATGCCTTCACACACCTTCCAATCCTGAGGAGGGCTAATAACGCCCCAAACAAGGGGAAAACAAGGCAGTGCGTGCAAAATGCTCAGGCTCTCAAGGATGCTACGGTCCAAGTAGGACAGGAAGAGGGACAATAGTGGTCAGGAAGGGAGGGCTGCAAGGTTCAAGTGATGAGGGATCCAAGCAGGAAGAAATCCTTGAGCTTAGGCAAGACCCCAGGAGCCTGTGTGACCACAGACGGGTTACTTAACCTCTCTGAGCTGTGGCTTCCCCACTGGCAAACAGAGTCAATAATCCTAACAGTTCATACTTATTGAGTATTTACATTATACCAAGTACTTTGCACGTATTAAATCATTTAATTCTCCCAATCATCTTATGAGGGTGCTACAATTTTTTTTTTTTTTTTTTTAAATATAAGGACCATGAGATCAAGAGTCGCATGCTCTACCGACTGAGCCGGTCGGGCGCCCCGTGGGAACTACGATTACTATTCCATTTTACAGACGAGGAAGCTGAGGCCCTGAGGGGTGAAGTAACAACTTACCCCAGCTTGCAGAGCTAGCCAAAGGCAGAAGTATTCTGCCTCCTTGTCTGGTTGCTGGCCATAGGCGGCAGGTGCCAAACAAAGGCACACAGTAGGTGCTTATTAAATGGTGGTCATTATTAGGAGTGAAAGAACCTCAGGTTCCCTGAATGAGCAAACACTGATGACAAGAGGGCCACTGCATACCCGGGGCCTCCATGTTGCACCTATGAGTAAAGACACAGGGTCTTCTTCCTCTCTGTGCCATGAATACCAGCCAAACAAGGAAGGCAAAGAAGAGGGCGGACGGCCACCACGGGCATTCCCTGAACTGCGTTCATTACATCTGCATCCTTGAAGGCTCGCCCTGACAGGTGCCAGGTATTTCCCTTGCTCTTGCTAAGGCAGGATACTTTGCTTTTTCCCCTTGCCAAGAGAAGTTTCTCGCTGCAGGGGCAGCCAGTTTATTTTTTATATGCCAAGTACAAGAGCCATGAGAGCTTCCACGGAGCCCAAGGGCAGCATCATTTCGTCAGCCTTGTCGCAAAGCCCAACAAAGATCTTTTCAGGACAATTAAGCCTTAAAGTTCCTAGCTGTCCCTGTGAGCATAGGAACTAAACAGAATTCATACCCCAAACTCTGACCACATTTCCCAGCATCCCTCTCCTCCCGAGTCAGGCAAGAACGGATCTCCAAGTCCAACTCTGTGCCAGGGGCTGGGGGAGCGTCTTAAGGAGCTGGGAAGACAGCGGAGGTATGGCAGGCAAGCATGGCCCCCAAAGGTGCCTGAGTCCTGCTCCCCCGAAGCCGTGACGCTGTCCCATTACACGGCAAAAGGGGAATTAAAGTTGTAGGTAGAATTAACGTTGCTAATTAGTGGACCCTAAAAAAAGGGAGTTTGTCCCAGATAATCCTGGCAGCTCAAAGAAATCACAAGAGGCCTCCAAAGTGGAAGAAGGAGCCAAAAGACTCAGAGTCAAAGATGTGGGAAGAACTAGACCCGCCATTTTTGGCTTTGAAGACGGACAAAGGAGTCATTAGCCAGAGAATGGAGGGGGAACACCAGGAGCTGGAAGAGGCAGGAAATACATTCTCCCCTAGAGGTTCCAGAAAGGTCTGGACACAGCCCTGAAGTACAGAACTCTAAGATAATACATTGCATTGTTTTAAGCCACTATGTTTCTGGTCACCAGAGACGGCAGCCATCTGCACACCGCCAACGCCGTAGGATATCGACTGAGAACAAGGCCTGGGATCTGAGTGCCCCGGCCTTGGATCCCAGCTTGGCCCTTCTTAGCGTGAAAGGGCTCGGTAAACCCAACATGCCCTCCTCTCCCCGTCCCAGACTCTCTCCAAACACAGCTTGCTTCCAGAAAAACAACCCGCAGGGATTAGACAAGGAAAAACAGAGAGGAATTAATCACACATGTGATTTCATTTCTTTTAGTCACTGGGCCCAAGGGCCCACATGAATTTTCATGGCTGGAGAAATTCCCTGGGGCAGGGAAAAGCGAAAGATCGGAATTGGGATTCTTCTGCCAGCACGCCCTTTCTGGAGGGAGCATGGCTGGGGTCTCCTGACAACTCACCTTCCTCTGGTGTCTCTCGAAGATGAGCACGAGGGTCAGGGTCAGGCTCATGGCTGCCAGGGTCACGAGCAGCACACCCACCCAGTGGTTCCCCAAGGCAAACATCTGACTGGTGGAGTAGATGTTGGCCCACACCACCACATAGAAAACCTGCGAGAAACCAGAGAAAAAGCACGATCAGGAATACCGGTGCTCGAACGAAGCAGCTCCGTTCAAAGGGAGACACCCCTCGGACACGTCCGACGCCCTCCTCGGAGACCAAGTGCTCCCAGGGCCAGGAAGGGATGATCGGGGTCTGTGAGGAGGAGCCCTTGTTCCTTGTCCATAAGCAACAGCAAAGGAAAGGGGTCAGGAGAGCTCCTCTGAATCCTTGCTTACTCTGACTTGAAATAAAGCAGGAGAAGGGCAGGGGGTCCTGGGAGTGAGAGAAATTTGAGTCAGAAACCCACACCGATCCTTCAACAGCTATGTGTGGCCTTGGACAAGTCATTAACAATGCGCTGCGCCTCAATTTCCTCATCTGTAAAATGCGGACAACACCTGCTTCACAGGTTTGTTACAAGGGTTAATCAGACCATGTGTGTAACAGCCTAGCACTTGTTCGAGAACTACCAAACGCCAGTAGCCATTCCTTTGCCTTCCCTAGCAGCAGACATGGGAGTCAAGGGTGCTACTGGGCCATGCGCACGTACGGAGAAGTGGCAGATCAGAGTGGTTAAGGGCACAGATGCCGAAGCCAGATTGCCTGGGTTCAAATACTGGCTCTGCTATTTGTACCTATGTATGTATGCAGATGTGCCTGTATGTATGTACATAGGTGGTTATAGATGTTTATATGTACGGGCCTTCATGTATGTATATATGCACATACACATATGTGTTTATACACACTCATGTAGATATGATCAGAGCTGAAACGGACTTATCTGTTGAACAGATGGGGGAACCAAGTCCCAGAAAGAAGACAAGTCTTAACCAAAGCCAGACATTGAGTCCAAAGTCACAATGATAGGTCCTCAGATTTCCACTCCCAAGCTCTGTCCTTAGTGAGTAAATTCAGCCTCTCATCCTTTACATGGGGATCTAGTTACGACTCTCTCCCATTGATTTCCTTATACCACATCCAGGTCCGTGTGTACTGCTCTGTCCCAGGCAGCTGGACCACCAGCCCCAAACCCCTTACCCACACCGAAAGGCTCCAGAACACAATGCCAAATTCAGCCACACCACAGGGGGCCGCAGCAGGGTTAAGGTTAACGCAGCACCCCCACCCTCCTTACCACAGCAAAGGCCAGCCGCATGGGCCTGGAGTTGTAGATGATGTATCTTCTCACTTGGGGCTCCAAGAGGGCGCTTTCGGCCAAGCTCCTGTACTGGTCGGCAGGGACCTACTTGGCCGTGCAAGGGAAAGAGACCAATCAGCCATGGGGAACCACTCCCACCTCCTTCCTGCACACAAGCAAGTCATTTCCAGTTCATGTGACTATCAGGTGGAAGGGGGATCAGGCACCATCTAGGCTGCCCCGGAAGGCAGAATGAAGAGCTCAGAGCACTCAGACTGGGGATCACAGGATGCAGCCCTCAGCTCAGGGAAGGCTGGGCACCACGGGGGAGGTGGGACAACTCGAGACCCAGGAGGACAGCAGCCTTGGGGGGGTGCATCCTGCAGCCCCAGGCTCAGGGCTCATGGTCAGGAGACCCATGATAGCCTAACGGTTAAGGCTCAGGCCCTAGAGTCAGGAGCCTGGGTCCAAACCTTGGCCCTTCTATTCATGGGCCATGTGACCTGGAGCAAGGAACCCCACTTCTCTGAGCCTTAGGCTCCTCCTCTGCAAAATGAGGACCGTAAGTATACCTCCCTTGTAGGGGTGGCTTGCATATTAAATACCATACCACATATACAATTCTAACATGTATATTATAAAATAAGTGTAAGTATAACATGTACATACATACGGACATGTGGGGGCCTTTGTTCTGCCTACTCCGGTGCTTATGTGTCACTTTGACAGATGTGTGCATACAGCTCAAGGTACTGGAAACTGCCATCTTCCTGCCACCCCCAGCCCCAGAAAAAATGGCATAGCACATCAAAGCCCTACAAGAGTGGACTGCTTAAAAAAAATAGAATTTAGGGGCGCCTGGGTGGCTCAGTCCGTTAAGTGTCTGCCTTCAGCTCAGGTCATCGTCCCAGAGTCCTGGGATCAAGCCCCGCATCGGGCGCCCTCCCAGCAGCGGGGAGTCTGCTTCTCCCTCTCCCTCTGTCTCCTGCTCTGCCTACTCATGCTCTCTCTATCAAATAAAATCTTTAAAAAAAATAGAATTTAACCATTAAAGAGGATATTTAGGAATACGGTAGAATATTATGTAAATTGTTCCCCAGTTATGGAAACCCCATCTGCAGACAACAGTTTTAAAAAAATGTTCTTTTGGACAAAGGCTGAATGATACACTGGATGATAAACCAGCCACTGTTGCTGGCGTGGGCTTAGTACCATCAATTTGCAAAGTTTCCCTTTAAATGATACAATGTTGGTGGAAACAGGAACAAGCAATTCCGCTGGAAAGAAGTAAACTCTAAAATCTTCAGGGTAAAATTAGCTGTGTGTCTTTCCCCCCCCCCATAACTGGTCCTCCCTAGGTGGTGCAGAGGAGGGCCTGGTGATGCTGGGAGCTTCGAGAACAGAGACCGCCACACCTATGGCTACTCTGTAACAACAGCAACACCTACAATGTATAGAACATGTACTACATGCCAGACAGAGTGCAACTATTTCTCAAGCACTAATTCACTTCCTCTCACAAAAACCCTAGGTAATGGATATGAATATTGCCCTCATTTTGTAAAGGATGGAACCGCCACTCAGAGAGGTTAAGTCACCTGCAGAAAGTCACGCAGGCAGGAAGCAGCAGAGCTGGATCTGCACCCAGACCTACACGTCTGAGAAGCCTATGCCTCAAATCACTATGCTTGAAAGCACTGCATTACCATCTAACAAATCCAGGCAGCTTCCCTTTGAATATACAGTTCCCTCTTCTGAAATGCCCTTCCTCCTGTCTACCCAGCAAACTCCTATTTTTCCTTCAAGACCCCAGATCAAGTATCTGCCCCTCCGTGACGCTTTCCTAACCACTGCTCCCCGAGGTGAGTTCATCATTTTCTCCTGTGAATGGCTTCAGCACCTTATACAGTCCACTACCGCGGTGTTGAGGTCCTGCTGTACCCGGCGTGAGTCCATCTCCTGCACTGGACTCTATGAGCAGTAGGACCCAGCGCCTGTGCTCACGGTCACCTCCGTGGTACCTAGCGCCCAGCTCAGCGCCTGGCAAAGGATGGGCACCCCAAAATACCTATCTGTTAAGTGAAGTAACCGGGAGGAGGGGACACTTCTCAGACATCTTCCCTACCTGCCCCACCCCATGGAGCACAGAGTCCATGTTGAACGAATATTTTGTGAACAACTGGATGAAAGGATAGATGGATGGGCAGACAGGCGGGTGGATGGAAGGAAGGAAAAAATGGCAGAGAGTCTCAATAAAATGAGCACTCACCTGAATGCCCCAGGTCTGCAGTTGCTCCTCCACGGCGCCCAGATCGAAGGAGATGGGTGCACAGGTATTGTCGATCCGGAGAACCGTGAGCACCTGGCCATTGTGGAGCTCTGAAAGCAAACCAGAAGCTCCAGCTGGCTGGGCGAGAACTACTGTGGACAAGCCCAGAGCCTGCTGGCATCACCTCCTCTTGCCATGAGACCCTTACTCGTGACAAGGAGAGACTTCGAATCCCTATGCGAGAAGCACCGAACTTGACAAGAAACCCCAGCAGAGGCAGAACTGGGACCAGAGCGTGGAGGCGATCTGGACACAAGACAAGACCAGAGAAGGAAGAACTTGCCAAGAAGGAGAGCCAGCAAAGAACTGGAGGGAACGAGCTCCCCATCGCAAAAGAGACTTAAACAGAGACTGAACAACAAATACATGGAAAAGGTGATATATCTGACATTTGTATGATCACCGCAAAGGAAGATCACCCAAATTATTATACTCACAGTGGGCTCAGTCTGACTGGGGTAGGCAGAACAATGAACCCCCAAAGATATCCCCGCTGTACTCCCCAGAACCTGCAAATAGGTTACCTTACACAGCAAGGAGAACTAAGGGTACAGATGGAGTTAAGGTTGCCAATCAGCTGGCCGGAAAAAGGGAGATTCTCCTGGATTGTCTGGGTGGGCCCGATGTAATCCGAAGGGTCTTAAAAATGGAAGAGTAAGGCGGCCGAAGTGTCGGGAGCAATGTGATGGGGAGAAGAGAAGCACAGAGCTGGAACGTGGCTGCCTTTGGAAATGGAGGAAGGTTCACAGGCCGAGGAGCATGTGCAGCCTCTGGAAGCTGGAAAAGGAAACAGACTCTCCCCAGGCTCCTGCAGGAAAGCAGCCTGGCTGACATGCTGACACGGAGCTATAGCTCAGTCCACACTTCCAACCTCCAGAACTAGAAGAAGATGGATTTGTGTTTCGCGAGCCCCTCTGTGGGTGGCAATTTGTTACAGCAGCTACAGAAAACTAGTATGCTGATTTTTTTTTCCTAAAGATTTTATTTATTTGTCAGAGAGAAAGAGAGCACAAGCAGGGGGAGCGGCAGGCAGAGGGAGAAGCAGGCTCCCCGCCGAGCAGGGAGCCCAATGTGGGACTCGACCCCAGGACCCTGGGATCATGACCTGAGCTGAAGGCAGACGCTTAACCAACTGAGCCACCCAGGCACCCCCTAATACACGGATTTACTGGTAACCCCGTCCCCAGGGTATCGGCAACTCACTCAACATTTCAAAAGCACCAACTGAATTAAGTCGAACCTCAACAAACTCGCCGCCGCATCAACCCAGCCTGGTCACAACAGCTATCAAAACTCTCCCTGAAGGACTGCAAGGAGACCACGGGCAGCAAGGAGGCCAAACCAGTGAGGCCAACTGGGGTGAAAGCTCGGGACTGAAAGCCCCTCAGGCCCAGGGAGGACCAGCCACGGAATGAAGCCGCATCTACCTTCTGTTCTGAGTAGAGAGACTCTGGACAGAAGGATCGAGATCTCCTTCCACCAAAGTATGAGACCCCGTGAGCCCAGGTCAGGTCAGTAGGCACGGGGCTGGGGGATGCCAGTGTTCGGCCATGCAAGGCTGGGGACTGGGTATGCTGGTACATTTTCTGTGGGCACGGCTCAGAAGATAAAGCAGCATGGAAGAGATCAAACCATCAATATGTTATCTGCTGGCCCAAACCTGTCCCCTCAGAGGCTAGCTCTGGGCAATACCTGAGTCTTTAAAGCAAAATGCCTAGTCCTACCTGCCTGGGAATTCCTGGCCCACCCACTCTCTCTACCCCTTCACACAGCCCCTCTCTGGGCCGTCAACTGGGCCAACAGAACATCCCTCAATTCTACACACCTCTTGGCATGTCCTCCACACCTGGGCCAGGCTACTACCTTCACTCTCCGTTGTGACCTTGTGGCGGCCTCCTCATTGGTGTCTCCATACCTACTCCTCCCACCTACAATGCACTCTCCGCACAACAGCCAGCACGCAAACTGGAGGACATCAATCCTCTGAGTAAAACTTTCAATAGCTTTTTGGCGCTCTACTGACAAAAACCAACCTCCTTACCACTCTCCCAGCCCTTAGAACCAGCCTCCTGCTAAACTCACCTCGGGCCATTCAGTGCTGTGTCGGGCCACACCAGCCTCCTTTGTTCTTGGAACAGGCAGTTTTCTCTCCTGCCCCAGGGCCTTTGCATATGCTGTTCCCTTTCCCTAGAACACTTCCATTGGACTTCACACAGTTAAACCCTACTCAACATGGGTATCCCCACTCATTAACCACTTCCTCAGGGAGTCTGCCCTGACACTATACCCTTAAGAGATCAAATCCTGCTAAACCTACCCAGAACTGCTCTTCTCATCAAGGATAAGTACATATATTTGCAATTATTTGCTTACATATGTAATTAGTTGATTAAAGCCTATCTTCCGCACCAGACTATGTACTCCCATACTGGTTCTGCTCATCACTGATCCCGAGCTGGGTTCAGTACTTGCATACAGTAGGCACTACATAAATGTTTGATGTATAAATGAATTGAGAGGACAGAACTCTGGTCCCCAACCCCAATAGGGTTCTTTTTTTTATGCCCTGGGGTATCGCCTATGAGCTCGAGTGACAGAGCATTCGACCCCCTGCCAAAAAGAATTTTATTTGCTTTCTTTTTTCTTTTTTTTTCTTAAGGTCTTTGCAAGAGGTGAGGGGTATGGAGGCAAGGTGGCAAGGCAGGGAAAGCACACACTAGAGAGCTTTAGGATTCAAAGTGTAGCCCAGCCTCTTGCTCACAGAGGAGCCTTGAAGAAGTGACCTGAATCCCTGGCCGGCTTCCTCACTTGGAGGGGGATCATATCCGCCACAGAGGGCTTTACAGAGAAATAAGAGGATGAAAATAAAGGCTTGGCGCAACATAACTGGCCACTATTGTTGCCAATTTAAAAGCAAGCTTGCCAGGACTCAAAAGTTGCAATAAAGCAATCCACGTGTGTGGATTTAGTTGTATTTGTTCTTACCCTCCCACGGACCTGCTCCAGGAAGGATTTAAGGTCACTCACTTCATAAAGTAAAACAGGAAAAGATAAAATTAGATTTAAAAATAGGCAAATGAGAGAAACTGGACAAGAAGAAAATAAAGGCAGAAAGAAGACAGAATCAGGTAAAATAAGACTAGCTTCCAGGTGTTGAGCCCTCACCAGGCACGAGGCAGGGAACTTGAGCTTCAAGGTCCCAATCGCATTTCAGCCTCTGAGAGCCCTCAGAGATGGATACCATTATCGTGGAAAAGGGAACAGAGCCTCTGAAAGGCAAACAGGCCTGCCCAAAGCTACCAGGGGAAATGAAAGTAAGAAAGAGAAGCAGCTGGAGCCAAGGCAGTGCCCAAAAGGCAGGCAGTCAGGCCAGGCAGGGCCACAGTTCAGCTCTGCATTTCACGGCACAGAACACAAAACCCAAGTGGACCGGAGCACCAGGCCCACGGAACATCAACGGCTCCCCTAGCCTGGCTCTTTGCACCCCAAGGAAAATGCTTTGCTCCAGCAACGCCAAGACTTTTTGAGGTGCCTTTGTTTGCCTTTCAAACCAAGTTCCTGGATTCTTGGCAATAATCTCTCTCATCCGTTCCTTAGAGTGGGAACAGCAAGTCTCTACTTAGAGATACTTTTTTTACAACTAGATAAGAAAAAGAGCTTGAAAAGCTACCAAAGAAGTGGGAACGCACACGTGTGTGTGTGTGTGTGTGTGTGTGTGTGTGGCAGGGAGCAATTTCCTGCAAAGGAGCAAGAACTGGCTTGCCAAAAACCAGTGGGGCAATGTCTTCACAGTTCTAAAGGAAAATCATTTCATCCCATTTTATTCTAGTGGTGTGTGTGTGTACACGCATGTGTGTAAACTGCTTTCCCAATACCAGTAGTAGTAAAAGAAACCCTTTTAGTTTAGTTGTAGTCAAGTTTCAAATCATCTAAGTAACCAGCTACAATTCAAAATGCCTACACTGAGCCACCCATTCATTCTGTTCACTCAGTAAGTGTCTACTATGGGCCAAGCATGTGCTAGGTACTGCAGATGCGGGGAGGAACAAGACAACACAGAGCCCCTGCCCTCATGGAGCTGACATCCTAGTGGGGAAGCTGGACATTCAACACTTTATGACACAGGTCATTATTTAATTACAGACTAGGATAAGTGCCGTGGGGAGAAGCAGGAATATATCAGGGAGTCCTGACTTAGGATTCCCCACAGAAGGTATATCTGAACTGAGCTCTGAAGCAGGACTAGAAGTTCATCAGAGGAAAGAAGGCAAGGCAAGAGCATAACAAGCAGAAGAAACAGCAGATGCAAAGGCCCTGAGGCAGGACAGCATGCCAGGAACGGAGAACATGGACGGCAGGAACCACTAAGACAGGCCTTGCAAGCTGGTGATGGACAGATCACCAAGCCCCATGCGAAACACTGAAGCAGGAAGTGACACGGTCTGTTCTGCATTTTTAAAAGCTCTCCCTAAATGCCATATAAATGGAAGAGGCAAGGAGGAGAGATCAGCTAGGAAGATAGGGCGGCAGGGGTCCAAGCAGAAGGTGACAGAGACTTGGTCTAAAGATGGGGATAGAGAGAATGGATAGAAATGACAGACTGCAAAAACTAATGATGATGGTGATTAACATAACAATAAAAAATTTAAAAAAAAAAAGAAATGACAGACTGGACTGTAAGTGTATCCCAAAATGCCCACCCTTAGCTAAAGGCCCTTCTGTGCCCTCCACCCCCCCTCCCTTCCATTGTGTTATGTGAGTCCAGCTCCGCATCCGGGGTAGAGGGGGAGGGGGGAAGAAGGGTCATGACCTTACCTTGCCCCCAGCCCGGAGGACTCCCTCCAGGCAAGGCGCTCCAGCCCGGGGAGGAGGTGGGCAGTGGGCTGGCTGCCCCGCTGGGGCCCATCGGTGGTTCACAGGCCATAGCCGAGCGCCAGCTGGGCTCTACTTCCCCTTCTTGGAGCCGTGGTTCATTCTGGAGCAGCCAACGCCGCTTCGCTTGCCTTCAGAAAACAGCACAAGAAAGAACTTCAGGCCTGGGCAGGCTGGGTTCTTTGGCTCCTCCAAGGCCAAAGTCATCCCCAAGGCCAGAGAGAGCCACCGAGAGTCCTTCTACTGACTTTGCTCTTTCCGGTCATGCTGAGGGGCATTCTCAGGAGTGAAGAAGAAGAAATAAAACCCTCCTCCAGGGGAGAACTGAGAACTTCCCTCTGGTCTTGGGTCTTCTCCAGCTCAGACACATCCAGGCACTCACCGGGAACTCAAGAAGTGAGCAGGCCCTGCTCCCAGGCATCTGGGATTTCTGTTCCTTTACTGACAGCACCCCAGGCACCCCAGGCAACCAGGCACAGTACCGGTATATCCATCATGGGAAGCCTTGTTTATGCAAAGGATCTCAAAGAACTTCCCAGAAGACATTACAAAATACAAATGAAAAAAAAAAAATCAAGATGGGGGGAAATACAGATTACAAAAAATAAGAGTTAATAACAACAACCATGAAGAACAAAAATACCCAGATATTCAGGCAATCAGAGTCCCTGGCAGAGGCAGCAAAAGTGTGCGCTAAAGAACATGAGCTATCACTGTAAACACTTCTACTACCTACTTGTTACGTAAACTTGGGCAAGTGCTTTAGCCTCCAAGAGATTTAGCTCCCTATCCTCCAACAGAGGTGTCTTTCGCACAAGGCTGCAACAAAAGAATCGGTGGGAGGATCTATATAAAGCACAGACGGGGGCATCTGGAACAAAGGAGGCAGCCCACAAATACTAGCTCTCACTGTTGTTGTTTCGAGGTTTGGCACAGTTGCCTGAGCCAAGAATTTGGTTTTGAGCTTCCAGGCGGCCAGAACTAAAAGAGAAATACTGCCGGTGAAGCAGTCGCAGGCAGTTCCTGTTATCTATAAGCAGGTAAGAAACAGGACAGTGAGGAAAGCAATGCATTTTCCTGGCATCTAGCTCCAAAAGGTCTCGGAAATGCTTTTTCCAAAGCCCTGGGAGCTGGGTCAGTGACAACACAGTGGGCATGATCATGACCCTAAGACATTTTCGTCCGTAAAGCAGAAATGTCCTTCAAGGGGATTTTCTTGATGCCAAAGCGGAGTCTCCAGCGCCACACACTCTGACTGGAGCCTGCACCCTCATTCTTTCTGTTATGTGTCCGCTTGGGGCTCTGACAAATCACCCATCGCCAAGGAAGACCATGCCTGAGTCCCTGGGATGACACACCGGCCTGGCTACCCGTCTTGGTGAAAAGTCCAGTAGAACTGGGTTTTGCTGCCATGGTTCCTGATGCTGGTTGAAAACAAGTGTCCAGTTGGCCCACATCTGCTTGGTTCCAAGCTGGCCTGGGGGCTGACCGCCACCGCGCAGGTCCCCTAACAAGCCTGACTCCCATACCCCCACCACCCTCCATTTCTCTCAGTCTTTTAAAAAGGACCGGCTACATAATCTTTGGGGCCCGGTGCATGACGAAGAATTTCAAGATGGTGACAGCAGGGGCGCCTGGGTGGCTCAGATGGTTGAGCGTCTGCCTTCGGCTCAGGTCATGGTCCCAGGGTCCTGGGATCGAGTCCCGCATCGGGCTCCCTGCTCCTTGGGAGCCTGCTTCTCCCTCTGCCTCTCTCTCTCTCTGTCTCTCATGAATAAATAAATAAAATCTTAAAAAAAAAAAAAAAAAGATGGTGACAGCAGAGCATTCCACCAGGTGAGGGGGCGGCTTTCTAAGTGGGGAGCCTGTGTGACAGAGCAGGCTGCAGGCACCTGGAGCCAGCTGTGAGGTAAGCTCCAGAAGATCACCTGGGAGCCCCCACCACCAACCAAGAATATACAAAAATGAGCCGTTGGCTAACAAGTATCACACCCCTGCCCCGTACCCGGCTCTGGGGCCAGAAAGCAACAAAATGTTATGAAAAAGCAAGGCCTTGAACACCAGAGAGCCTGGATTCTGAATCCCTGCTCAGCCTTGTCTCATGCTCTGTGGCACGGTACTTCACTCCCCGAGCCTTGCTGTCCTCATCTGTAAAATGGCTTCAGGGAACCCCACCTAGCACAGCTGCTGCAGGGACAACGGAAGGAGACACAGGGATGACATCCAGTACCCAGGTCACCCAACAGGCCTCTTGCCTCAGAAGGAGAGAAAATGGAGAGGCAAAGACGTAAAGAAACCTGCCCACGGTGGGGTGGCTGGAAGCCAGAGGGCCAAAATGGGAACCCCAGCCATCTGGCTCCATAGTCCAAGCCCATAATTCCTAGGCCCTGAGCCTCAGGACCCAGGTCTCGGAGCCTGTTCTTTAATCCACCCTAAAAAAACGAAAAGAAAAGAAAGAAAAGAAAAAAACGGTGGGTCAGGGGAGGCTCCCTCTCCCGGGTGCCTGCACAGCAAACTCCTGCTGGTTTCTGACACTCCATCTTCCCCCTCCCCTAGCCTGAGGCCTGCCCACAGCAGGCATTCCCAAATACTGCTGAACATTAACCAGTCAACTGCACCACCCCTTACTTCCTTCCTCTTAGCCTGCACCCCCTCAAGAGGCATAAAAGCAACAACAGCCTGAGGAAGTCCGCCCTGCACCTGACAATCTCAACAATCTCGGAAGCCCTTCCCTGACTCCTCTGCTCACCTCCAGGGCCCGAGAGGCAAATATAATCCTTGGGCCCATTTCCCAGACAAGAAAACTCACTTTTCCCAGACATCCCAGCGATGTCAGAGCTAGCAGCCTGCAGCCCAGACAAGCTGCACTGGCGTGTCAGAGAGGCCTGTGGGACCCAGGAGCCCACCCCCTCTCCTCCAGGCAGGAGGGACCACCCCCAGGCTGGAGCTGCCCAGATATCCTTCCCCCACGGAAAGTTTCCATTGGTTGCAAAAATCCCACAACTAGTGTCTTTGAGGAGAAATCCCAGCACCGCAGTTGGCCCAATTAGCCTCCTGCAAAGTCTCAATCAGAATTCATTCATTCATCTGAAATAAGGAGTAATGGTTAAAAAGTACCGGTACCGTCCTGCCGTTTCCCACCTGTGTCACCTGGAGCAAGTCACTTAACTCTCTCTGCCTCGGTTTCTTTACATGTAAAGGGGGATAATATGGTAACCGAGGCTCAAAGAGTTCACGCGTGTACATCACTCAGAGCAGCACTGGGCAAATAGGAATTGCCCAAGAAATACAGCTGTCACTATTTTTACTCTACAAACATTCCCTAAGAACCTTGAAGTGTCAGGCCCTGTGCTTTCTCAACTCAAACACCAAAAATAAAATCTAAAGTCCTTGGTCAGCCCTCCCTGCCTGGGATCCCATCTGGTGGGAAAGATGAACTCAGAAAAAGAGAAAAAAGAGACAATGACCAAACAAGGCAGTTGGAGGGAGCGGGCATTACCTTGATGTGGGAGAAAGGCTTTGCAAAGGTGGAGGTGAGCGAAGGACTGCCAAGTAGAGAGAGGTACAGACCAGAGGCCAGGGTGGGCCCAACGACGGCCCTCTGCACTCACCCTGCAGCTCCTGGTCCAACCTGGAAGCTGCGGAGGGTGGGAGGGGGTTTGGCAACACCGGCCTTGGGCAGATGTGGACCCATCACCTTCCAGTGTGTCCTGAGCCCACCATTGTGCTCAGTCCTGCACCAGCCGGAGGGAGACTTGGGAGACAGAGCGGACACCAGGGTGGAGGTGGAGCCAGCAAGTGAACACAGCCCCGAGGCTCCTGCAACTAACCGGTCAACCACTCCCCGGTTTCCTTAGTTTCCTTTGCTGATTCTGCATTTTAACCAGACCTTCCAGTCGTGCTTCTTTCTTAATTAGCTGGTGGGCCCCTGAAAAGGAAGATATCCTTAAGTCCCTGAGCAAAGGTCTCCATTTCTGGAGACAGAATGCCCGGTCTCCCCAGGAACCGTGTGCCTCACTGGGATGGACGTGTGAGAGAGAGAGCAAGAAACGGCTTACAGTTTTCACAAATCAGGTTTTGTTTTTGTTAAATTGGAAAGCCCCAACAAAAGCCCATAAGAGGGCCTGACACTTAAGTTTTAGGGTGGAAAAGCCTTGAAAGGCAATAAGTTCTAGCTCTCCATTTTGCAGATGAGGAAATTAAGACCCAGAAATGAAAGTGAACTATCCAAGGTCAAAGAGCCAGCCCAGGACGGAGTCTGAGCGATACAGGGATGTCCCACCACACCTGGCCTTGGCCATGGACAGCTGTCTCACCCCAGTCTCTGCCTTCAAGTCCTGTCCGGAGGTCTTCTGCCCAGGGTCTCCTTCTCCCCGGAAATCCCCGCCCCCGGCCCCAGACCCCCAGGAGCCACCCGAGAGCCGCTCCCACGCCCGACCCGCGCGGGAACGCGGCCCCAGGCGCACTGAGAGCCCGGCCGCGGCCGCGCCGCCCACCCCAGGCCAGGAGAGGCCGCCTAGGCGGCCGCGCCGCCGCTCCAATCTGGGCTCGCAGCCGCCCGCGCCCGCGCCCACGCAGGAACCCGGGCGCGCGCCCCGAGCCGCGCACACTCACCGCCCGCGCCGCCGCCGCCGCCGCCAACGCCCCGGGACGCGGAAGGTCGGGGCCGCCGCAGCCCCTCCGCGCCGCAGCCTCCGGCTCCCGCGCCCCGCCCTGCCCCGCCCCGCCCCGCCCGCCGCGCTCCTGGGTCCCGCCCCCGGCCGGGCCGCCCCGCGCCGTTACCCCACTGGGAGGGGCCGCCCGCCAGGCTCCTGGGGCCCAGAGGGAAACCGGCTCCCTTGCATCAGCCGCGCGCCCTGCGCGCCCGCCGACCAGTGCACGCCTCTGGGGCCCGCGGGGACCCGGGCCGCCCCTCCCGAGTCTCCGCACCTGGGGACGGGCGGGGCACCCGGCGGATGAGGCGGTCTGGGGCCCAGAAACTTCTCAGGGGCTTGCTCTTGAATGAAAAATCCTGGGCGCATCACGATGAAGAGCATCTGCTGGAGAATCAGGCAACCTGAGCTCCAAGCCAGTTTCTCGGCTTTTTAGATCATCCCGGGTCAAGTAGTTCACCTCTCGGTGTCTTCGTTTTCTGGACACAACAGATCATTTAATGGGCCTGTGTAAAGCTCTAATGAGACAGTCCGTATGAAGTGTTCACAACCCCAGACACAGGATAGCTGCTCTCTCGACGTCGGCTGCCGCCCCCACCTGTACCACTTGGGACTCAGAGGGGTCCACAGTGAAAAGTCCGCCCCTCCAGCCCCGCCTCGGGAAAACACTAACCTTGTGTATTTTTCCATAGAGAGTTCCCTGGCATTCACCTCATGCCAGAACCCTCGGCTCTACTTCCCTTCTACGGGGTCCATAAACCTCCAAATATTGTAGGAAGGCTCCTTCTTTCCTGGAGGACACTTGCGGGGGCCCACTGGCTCCCAGGCCTTGCTAGGATGGTCAGAGCCACCGCGCTGCCTACATGCCAAGCCTGCGTTTCTACAAGTGGACTTGCTGAGTCAGAATGGATGCATTTTTAATTGCCAACAGATGTTGGCAAATTGCTGGGGGCCTCTGAGGCCACAGGACTTAGTTGGCTGTGGCCCAGCCAGAGGCAGAGGTGAAGTGCTTGGGGGGCAGCGAGCAGCCACTGAGGAACAGAACAGCAGATACTGTCCAGGTGCCCTCATTGACCAGGCGAGTGAGGATCCAGACAGTAGGTAACTAGAGATGAAGTTCATTCATTTATTCGGCAACAGAGGACACTGGGTGCCTGCGAAGTGCCAGGCATTGTACTAGGCAGCAGTGAACACGATACACAAGATCCCTATTTAGTTTGCCTAATTTCCTAAAACACGATTTGGGGGCGTGGGAGCGAGAGCCCCGTGGGATATTGGAGCCTTCCTAACTGCTGATGGGACCTTGAAAGGGGTCTTTTGACAGGGGTGTGGCCCGGTCAGCACCCATCCAAATCCCATGAGGCCAGATAGCCTACTCCTGCCTCTTCTGCCAGGCGACCTTGACTGCGTGTCACTCCAGCATGAACTTCCGTGTGGACACATCCGTCTCCTTTGCTGGGGAAGCACAGTAGATGTGGGCCTTTGGAACTGGCTGTCCAGGCTCCAGCACTACTGGCTCGTGAACTTGCACTGGTGGGCTCACCCCTCTGAGCTTCGGTTCCCTCCTTTATGGAAGGGAACAATATCTGCTGAACTGAGGGATGGTAAGACTCAGAAGATGCAGTGCATGACGGGAAGTCTTCGGTGGAAGTGAGCTGCATCCTTGGACAGCTAGGCAAAGCTCCTCTCGCATCTCTGAAACTTCAGCCCCCAGTAAGTCCTGGCACCAGAGCATGAGGGAGTAGGGGCCCCACACATATAAAGGTGAATAAAGTCCAGGAAAACGTGAGTAAAATCTAGTCAAGTTCTCTGGGGAGCAGGCTTCAGTAGCAATATCTTGATGGATTCACAAGGCTCTGTGTGGTGAGCCCCAGCCCGTCCCCACCCCAGCCTACCCTGTTTACCCGCTCTTCCCCCAACCCCCAAAACCCCTAAGTTCCAAGAACACAGAGCGCTTCTCAGTTCCTCCTAAACCCCATGCCCTCTCTCACTTCCAGTTCTCAGCAGTTGCCATTCCTCTCCATCTGGAAAGTAGCCCCAAACCCCATTCCACCTCAATACCTGACTGACGGACCCACTCTCAGGTCTCAGGTGAAAGGGCCCTTCTTCTGGGAACCCGTTTCTGTCCCAGGCCCCGGCGAGACCCCCCCCCCCCCCGCCCCCTGCCCTCAGGATCTGCCCCACGCATCTTAAGTAGTGAATGAAGAGCTGTGAATGAAATCATCAGGCCTTCAGCTACAGATAAATCCAAATAACCACAAGCTCCAGCCAAAGCCACCATTACTCAGCAGTTGCACCATCTGTCCTGTCGTGATTGCAAGGGTTGCAGACACGTGTCTGAGGGCTGGCTGCCAATTCTCTGCCAACCTGGATGAAGTGAGGAGGAATGAAGTTCTTCCCAGCCTGGCAGGATCTTCAAGTGTGGCAGCAGATGGGACATGGGGGGCCTCAGAACTGCTAGGTAAGTGAAAAAACAAAGCACAGGCATTAGATCTTGTTTTTGAAACTGGTCTGCCTATTCTAGATTCACTGACTTCCTGACTCTTTTAGAAACAGACCACTTAAGACGTTGCCATGGCCTGAACAGCTTGAACTACATCACACAGAGATTCGGGTTGGGAAGCCAGACAGACCTGGGTTCAAATCCAGACTATGCCACTGATTGGCTCTGTGACCTTGGGCAAGTGACTTTATTGATTCGCGCCTCCGTTTCCAAATGTGTAAATGGGAATAATCATACCTACCTCCGAGTGACAGTGGGAAAATTCGATGTGTATATAAAATGCCTGGAATTTTTCCTGATATAAAACTGATGTTAGTAAATGTGAGCTATTTTTAAAATTATTTCCAAAGCATGCCCAACAGAATTTTCCTTGGCTAACGACTCCATTACGTTGATTTGAAATCCTGGATGCCACGATGCGCAGTGAGCTCTTCACTACGAGATCTACACAATATAGGTCAACAGCACGTGGGTGCTTAGAACTAAACACACAGCTGTCCTTGTCAGGAGGTGTGCAGGCAATAAGACGAGTCACATGCTGTTGGTTGGGAAACTGGGTCAAAACCAGGAGAAATACTCTGAATTCCTGTCAGGAAAGCCTGGGGTGTAAGGCATCTGTTTCTACACCGTGCACAGGAAAGCAAGAGCCACAAACAGGTACAAAGAGAGTAAAGGAGAGAGAGAGCTCACATCTGGTTGGGAGAGGGGGGAGCAATTGAAAGTACTCAGGCTTTTAACTAGCAAGCTCCACCCTCTGGTCTTTTTACCTTTGAAAACTGCACAACGGTAGCCAACCCAGTCGTGTTCTTGGAAGAACCAGCCTGTCTTCTTCCATAATCTTATCTTCAGCTGCTGCCCCGTGTTCCAGAATGCTGCTGCCCCGTATTTCAGAACGCTGCCACTATTCCCTTGTAAGTTACTTTCAAGTAGGAGCAGAAGGGGGGCTGTGTGCCCCTGGCCCTCTAAGCCCACTCATCCCCCCTCACTCATCCCCTCCAAACACAGTGAGCTATGGCCTTGAGTTGACATTTGACCCACCAGCCAGTGTCATTTGAAGTTTTTCAAAAGCCAGAGATGATAGATGTTGACATGATCTGGCAGCTTCCTCTCCCAGAACCACTGGCGAAATCTTTCAGTAAAGAGTGTACCTCTCCTGCTCTTCAGAGCAGCCTACACAGGGGAAGGGAAGTGGGAGGGAGCAAAACTGGAATAGCCTGCCTTGTGTGGAAGCTCGTTCAGTAATTTAAGAGCCACTGAAGTGGTAGGAGACCAGTTGACAGGAGAAAAAACACTCTTCAGACCTGCCAGACTATCCCTGAAGGAGAGAAAAAATACAAAGGGTGACAGATGAGGAGCAAGCCAGACTCATCGGAACAGGTCCTTTTCACCAAGTGGCTTCCATTGACTTCTGGTACCATCAGTCTTCTGGCGGGGAAGACCGAATGTGCCAAGAATGTTAGCTAAAGGCTTTGAAGCTTTAGGGAGGCTGGAGGCTGGGTACTCCACCCACCATAGTCCTCGGAGAAGGCCTGGAGGCAGAGCAGGGAAGGTTTTCCCTTGCAGCCTTCAGGCTGGTCCGATTGGACTTGGTGCCCACTCTGTCACTTCCTTGCTCTGTGAACTTGAGCATTCTAGAAGCCTCTCTGGGCCTCAGCTTCCCCATGCTTGGAAGTGGGATCACACGCCTAAAGTGCAGAGCCATTGTATGTTTACCTAAGTGCCTGGAACATAGGCTCCCTCACTTGGAGCACTCAGATTCCATGTATGGCCTCTGACAAACGGCCTCACCTTTCAGAAACTCGGGGTTTTTTTCCACCCCTAACATGGGAATGGTACATCTTCAGGGAATCTGTAGATATTACACACAAGGTGTGACTTTCTAGAAGCCATTTTATGCCTTCTACCAAGAACTTAAGTAGGTCTGAGCTATGGCACCAAATAGAACGGCCAGAGTTTCTGTGCTTGTAATGGGCAAAGCTGAGGGCATCCTTCTCTCTAGACAATGGGTTCACATGACACAAAATTGCCCGGAGGAGGGGCGCCTGGCTGGCTCAGTTTGTAGAGCATGATCTCTTGGTCTCAGGGTCGTGATTTCAAGTCCCAAGCTGGGCTGGGAGCCTACTTAAAATAAAATTTAAAAAAAGAAGAAATTGCCCAGAGGAGCACTTAATCTAGGATGTGAGAGCTGTAAAGGAAAAGGATCACATAGGTGAAAAGCATAAAAGGGGCGACCCATCTGCTCGGTGCTGAGTGCAGGCAGTGGTTAAGCACAGATGCTGAGCTAGACCGCCAGCCTAAGGCTCCAGCAGCGTTCATCCTTGCAGCCGCTCTGCCTCATAGCCTGCAGAATAAAGTTGCTGTGAGGATTAGTTAATACCAGTGCCGTTCTCAGAACATCAGCCAGCATGGAGAAAGCTGTTAACAACTGTAGCAGACATTCTTTACTCACCAAATATCCGAATATCCCTGGGCTCTCCCTTTTTTTTTTTTCTTTTTTTAAAGATCTTATTTGACAGAGAGAGACACAGCGAGAGAGAGAACACAAGCAGGGGGAGCGGGAGAGGGAGAAGCAGGTTCCCCCCTGAGCAGGGAGCCCGATGCAGGGCTCGATCCCAGGACCCTGGGATCCTGACCTGAGCCGAAGGCAGACACTTGACGACTGAGCCACCCAGGCGCCCCTGGGCTCTCCCTTCTTAGACTCCTTGCAGCTAGGTCGGCTCATGCAACCCATGCTGGTCAATGGGCTGAAAACAAGTGTCACATGTCATTTCCCGACTGAAGCGTGTTAAGAGCTGGTGCCCGTTTGCCAACTTCTCCTTCCCCTGCCTCTGCCATCATGGAAACCACGTGCTAAGATGGTAGAGCGGCAAAGTGGAAGTAAACTGAATCACTGACACCGCAGGAGGACAGCTGCCCTGCAGTCACCAAACTTGTATCCAACATTGTAAGAAATAAACCTTTTTATTAAGCCACTGGGATTTCAGTATATCCTATCCTGACCAGTAACAGCTAGTTATTAGACATGCAAATCAGGGATAATTAAGAGGGGGAAAGGACAAGTTTTGGAAAATTAGGAAACATTTGCTGAGTACTTGGAATGTTCCAGGAATCATGGGTGGTACTTTAAGAATTCTGAGTTGCTATAGGACAGTGGTTCTTAACTGGGGGGGTGGTCTGGGCCCCTAGGGGACACCTGACAATGGAAGTATTTTTGGTTGCCACAGCTGAAGGGGTTCTACTGGCACCCAGTGGGTAGAAGCCAGGGACACTGCCAAAGGACCCTGTAAATGAAGAGCGCAAAAAGAAACCCTCCCGTCACAGACCCTGTCTTCTGAGAGTAACAACTAGCACCAGTTTATTCTATCGTCTGTACATACACATACAGGCATGTGAATATCTTTTTCTATGCTCAGTGGGAACAAATCACACACTGTTCTACCTCTATGTGTATCTTGGAGTTCATTCCATGTCAGAACCAACATCATGGGCCTTCGTGGTCAAAGAACCAAACATGCTAGTTTTTCGTGTCAGGCCACAATGGAAGGCCCTCCCCAGGGGAGATTTTAAAACATCTTAGTCCTGGCCCCATTCCCAGAGATGGATTCAACTGGCCTAGCAGGACACAAACACCCATTTTCCCTGAGCACCATCCAGCTTAAAGGCTAGAACTAATCCCATCTGTGCTCCAGCTCCTGTGGCCTCCAGACCCCTCGGGGCTCTCACTCCACCCAGAAGACAAGACCTTCTCCATCTCGCTCCCTCTATTCCCTTCCCTCCCCACATTTAAACATGTTCTCACCTCCCTTAAACCACCTCTGCCCCCCACCCTTCACAGCCAAGTCTCTCCACTCACTTGACATTTCATTCACTCTTCAACCATTTAGGTTCCTCCCTCCCAGATCACCAAGTTCCTTTCAGATCTTATCTTTCCTCTCAACTGACCCTAGATCACACTTTGGAAGTACTTAACGTTGCTCATTCAACTGTACCAACATTCAGCTGGTTGGCTGGAAGTGAAGAGTCAGGCAGAAATGTATGTAAGTACAACCCTATGAACCCAGGATGAAAATACTGGTGGCAAACAGGTTAGATACTGCATCTAAAGTGGTGAATGCAGGTGTTGCTTCTTCATGGTGCTCCAGTTTGGGAAATTTGTATTTGCAGGAGAGATGGAGTTTGCTGCACTCAGCAACACCAGGAGTCAAGTCCTAACAAAACTGGGTACAGGGTAGAACACTTTAAGATGGAGATGTTTATTAGATATCCAAACCAAAAGAGCAAATAAGCAATTGACAACTCTACAGTTCAGAAGAGAGAAGCTGAATATAAACTTGGGTCTTCAACAGAGATGGTTATTTAAAGCCATGAAGAGAAGGTGGGTTTCAACAAGGGAATGAGCATACCAAAGTCCAAGAACAAATCCCTGGGAGTTAGAACTAAAGCAAGAGACAGAGGCACAAGGTAACACATCACTGCAGAATAAAGCTAAGAAAGTGGTTCAAGAAGAACTGGTCAACCCTGTCAAACAGGACTGAAGGTCAAGGGGGAAGAAGATTGGACCAATCAATCCAGTCATCACTGCTGACCTTGACACTCACTTTCATTGGAGTGGCAAGCCTGACTGGGGTGCTTTCACAGTCAAAACTGGAAAAGCTCATATGGAACTCTTTTGAGGAATCGTACTATAAACAGAACAGTGACTAGAGACAAACATGGCCTAAAATCAACCCATCCTGAGTCTCATAAAATGTGATTTTCTTAAAGCGCATCTAATGTTCTCATACTTTTTCAGAACAAGCAAGGAAATCCCACAGTGTTCTCTCTCAACTGTTTGTTATCTACTAGAAATTATTTTGCAGCCAAAGACTTTCGGCTAATAGAGAGTCACAGAGCATTTAACTCTTAAGAGCTAGTGTGAAGTTCCTATAGGTATTATACATATCATGTAGCCCGCCAGGGAGGAAATATGCTTGATAACTTGCCCAAGGCTGCCCCGGGCCAGGGTGCTCTAGAGAAAAGGCAAACTGCAGACTTACTACTGGTCGGATGTTGTTTTTCGAACTGGCTGCTGGGTGAAATCACAAGTGATTTCCTTCCTGCTAAGATACATACCACAAACATTTTCTGAGTATGCGTGCAAATGGGTATGTGCTACATGTGCTAATTTAATTTCCTAAGTGAAGTTCTGCAGAACATCTCAAAGTGCACTCTGCATTATCAGAAAGGATGAACCAGAGCAGTGGAAATGCATGACAAAGTCTTTACTTTCAAATGATTATCAGTACACCAAGTAAGAACACGTATACAAGAAGTTCTTGAATTCTATCATCTAATAATTTTGGGTAAGAGAAACTAAGAGCAGCCCGAACAATATATACTAGTATTCGCTGTTCCACCCTTAGCCGAGAGGACTTAAGGCCAGCTGCTGCTTCACACAAGTTATAGTAACTATTTACTACTTTTTCATAGAGAAAGCCCCTGACCTTCAAGAAAGCTTTAGGGAAAAAAAAAATTTAATCCCTTTCTTTCTTTAAACAGTTTTTTTTTTTCCTACATCTAAGAAAGAAAAAGTATTGATACATATGTTGCTTGAACTAAAAGGCATAGGAAAACAGACAACGTATACACATTAAATTTCTAAGAAACATGAGGTAAAAGGAGAAAATCTTTGGATACGCTCTACGTTTGTACAAAGAAGCTAGATTTGCTATTCTCCAAGAAGTGAAGGGACCTACTACGTGATACACAGAAATAATTTAATGCCTTTTCACAAGGATGTAACTACTCAAGCTTTGCCGAAGCTTCGTATTCCATGAAGGCATCTAACATGCCAATCTGCACGCAGAGCTGCTCCTTCCTCCCCTATCCATTTATGCGGTAGTTTTCATGGATTTCTGGCCGGATGTCACAGACAAAGGCCAGCAGGTTATCCAGGACTTCATCCCTGTTCTGCTGGAAGTAGGCCTGGAGGATGGTCATCTTCTCCTGGGTCTCCTTCTCCACTTCGGTGCTGCAGCTGCCATGGGATCCCAGAGCCTAGAGTCGGGGGGTAAGGACACAAAGGGAAGGTCAGGTCGGCGCTCTGGCTGGCGCAACTTCCTTAGTTCTGGAGAAACCCAGTCTCATCAGTGAATACAAATAAACAGCAACGGGCAATATAACCTCATGATTGAAGAGCATGTGGGAAGGTGGTGTTCCCCGTTAATGGGAACCAAAACTGAGGCAATCACTTTGGTGGCCAACCTTCAACCATCTATCAAAAGGTAAATTGCACAGCATTTCCACGACTCAGAAATTACCGCAGAGAGCAATATATTCACACTCTCTGGAGTCTAATGTATAGCCTTAACCAAAGACTGGAATGAACCCAAAGATCCAATACCCGACGACCAGTTTAACAAATTATGGTACATCTATACCAGAGAACATTCTCAGCTACAGAGGAAGATAAAGTAGATGTGTGCAAGATGGAATGAACTGTAAAATATGCAGTTTAAGGGGGGAAAAAAAAAGCAAGATACAAAATGGTTTGTCAGTGGGCGCCTGGGTGGCTCAGTTGGTTAAGCGACTGCCTTCGGCTCAGGTCATGATCCTGGAGTCCCGGGATCGAGTCCCGCATCGGGCTCCCCGCTCAGCGAGGAGCCTGCTTCTCCCTCTGACCCTCCCCCCTCTCATGTACTCTCTCTCATTCTCACTCTCTCAAAATAAATAAATAAATCTTTATCGCTCTTCTCTATAAAAAAAAAAAAAAATGGTTTGTCAGTAAATTGTGTTTCCTTGTGTGGTTTTAAATGGGACAGATAAATCGTGGTATAGATATTAAAAAAAACTCTTAAAAAAAATAAACACAAGGGGATGCAATTTTGGAGGAACACAGTTTCACCATTACTGCTTCATGTTCTAGCTCTTACATTCAGCAGTAGATTCCCCAGTATTATGGATACACGACACCTATTCTTTCAAATATAAATATTCTAGCAGAATATGCAAGAAACTTAATAGTGACGGTTTCTGAGGAGGACTTCAGGACTGGGTGGGAGGAAGACTAACTTCACTGCTGCCCTATTTTACTGCTTGAATCCTTCACCATACTCATGTCTTACCCTTTCGGTCTCCATTCACAATTTTAACACATACTGACGGATAAATTTTCTTTTATCCTCAGTCTTCACAGTATGGCTGGCTTTCTGTAAAGTATATGCCTACTTTGCTAGAATGAGACCTATCAGGTTGTTGTTGTTTCTTGAAATAACTACAAGCCCTTTATTAACAAGTCAGTAACACAGGGAGAAGGCTGTCAAACTACTTTTCTCGGAGGCCCCCGGACAGACAGGCACTGTCAGAACTTACCAGGCCAGGGAAGGCAACCCAGCCAGAGGCAGAACGGACCTCAGGGCCTCCGCCCGGGGAGCAGCTGGCCCGGGGCGCTGAGAAGGGGGATGGCTCGGACCCCAGGCAGGCACCGTGCAAACGCTGAGGCCGCGCAGGGAGTGATGGGGTGACGGGCTCCCCTGCGTGGGCAGACACGCGTGTCCACGCGAGAGCCGGTGCCTGCACACAGCTGACGCACAGAGAGCAGAAGGAGGGGTCCCCCGGCAGGAATGGCGGGGGGGGGGGGGGCAGGGCTCATCCCAGAGCTTGAGAAAATGGCTTAGGGAAGTCTCCCTATCAGGCTCTTGACGACAAAACTTTTTTGTGTCTGATCCTTTCTATCTTCTAACGTGCTCCTGCCTCTTTCCGAATGTATTAACTATACCCCTTCCTAGCTGTCCACCCACAACGGCGTGCAAGGGGAAAGCCTTCTCTCGCATGTCACCTAGTCCTCCATAACCTGTACGGAGGCCTTCACTCCCCTTCTCACAGATGAGGAAACCGAGGCTCAAAGAGCTCAAAGTGAACATGCAAAGATTCTAACCCACGTTTCCTGATTCACTTAGGACTCTTCATGCTTTACTGTAACTGTTCACACTGGCGGAACACAGGGGCATTTCACATTAGTTAGCTCAGCTGCTAATTCTTATTTTTAAAGGTCCATAACCCTACTGGGGGTGGGGGTAGGGGAAGGGGGACACTACCTCTGTTCTGTGAATATAAACTACATGGCAGGCCTCAGTCAGTTGTGTCCAAGCTGAAGGGGTCACACTGAACACTGCTAGGAAACCCCAGAGCTCATGCTTGCACAGCACTGCTCTTGCCTCTATAAACAATTGCAGCATTGACATACAAATAAGCCGAGGCAGCTGCCCCGACAAGAGGACTTCCATACTGTTTCTGTGGGCAGTCTGACAGCTGACACCACCAACCTGCCCCAGTTCAAGAGTCAGAGAGGTTTCAAGTTTCAATAGCACTGGGACAGTCCAGTGCAAAGATGAAGGACACTTTTGGATTTACTGCCAACAATAGAGGTATGTGCCTTTAATCACTGCATTTGGGCCTGGGAGGGCATGTGCCTGGAACCAGTGAAGGCCACAAGGTAGAACTTGAGAATGAAGCCCACAAAGACAAGAGCAGAGTTGAGAGATGAAAATAATGTCCTGAGGGCATTACTGAAGCTCCTGGATCAAAATAAAGTTAGCCTTTCACCTGGGTCTTTAACTACATAAGCCAATAAATTCCATTTTGTGTAAAACCAGTTTGAATTGTTTTCTGTCACCTGTATCCAAGAGTCCTGATAGAGTTTCTTTTCTCTGTGAAGCCCTCCTCCATCCTTTCCCCTTTCCAGAATTCTCCCTGCTTTTGTGATCTGTTGTTGTGCTATCATTGCACACATCTTCTGCTGCGTCGCCCTGCCTACACCGTTGCCAAGTGTCTCTACCATACCAGAGTGGGCTCCAGCTGATGGATGTTATGACCACCACAGCCCTTCTCACAGCTGTAGGTCTGCATGACTTGCTCCATGAGGCAGGGACCATGTCTATTTCTGTTCACAGCTAACATCTGGCACAAGTTAACATGTTCAATAGATATTTGTGAAATGACTAAGTGAAGACTAGGATTCAAAGTTAGTTAAAAACTGATCACCAGCCTGGACATCCAATAGCCAAAATTCCAAATTTCAACCAGAATCACAATCTCAGCTCTGCTGGATATTTTGAGAACCTGGGGAAAAGGGGAGAAGAGGAAAGCCTCAGGAAACTAAAGCAATAATGAATATAAACCAGGCCCACCGCAGCTTCCTTGGCCTTGAACTCCTTCTCTCTTTGCAGACGGTATTGTTCAATTTCAGCCTGAGCTTCTTCTTTGGCCTGCTTCAGCCTCCGGTTCTTTCCTGTTTTCAAAAGAAAAAGCTACGTCAAGAAGTGATTAAAAGACAAGGAGAAGAGGAAGCAGAGACTGAGATGGTAAATTCTAACAGTAAACAAGTAATAAAGTTTTAAAGGTACAGTCCCAAGAGACATGCATAGGAAAGAGGGAATTCAGAGCTGACTGTAGAGATTCTTGCCTCCTCTGGGCTGCACTTAACTAGGAAGTGATAAGGTAAAAAGGACCATCTTCCATAACTACAGACTGTAAATGATGGAAAACATTCTGCAATGTGTCAGAATATTCTCTCAATCTCCACTACTAAGAACCAAGACAAAATGGGGGACATTAGCCTTCTGGAGAACTCTTCCTTTCCCAAGAAGTAAACACCTAAGTATCCCGCTGATTACAACTGGAGTTCTGCTTAGAAGCTGAGCAAGGAGACGAATATGCCCCCAAGGGGCATTAACCTAAAATGTAACTAATGAAACATCTGATGTAATATTGCAAACTAAAAACCATGCCTGTGCACAAGGAAATAGTAATGAAAATGGTTCTTGGAAGGAATCCTAAATGGGGAGCACTGGATGGTTAAGACTGCACAAGCATCTAAGAAATGAGGAGACACAGGTGCTCTGGTTTCTTGAAGAGAATAAACATACTGCTTAAAAAATTCTCTAGATGCCATCAGAGCCTGTATGAAAACAGACCACAAGACCAAATAGCACGTATTCTTTGCTTTGAATCTTTGCTCACTGATCAAACTTCTCAGATACCCAAATTGGGGGGGGGGGGGGGAGTCTTAGATGATCAACCTGGGCATTTATTTAATTTAGAACATAAGACATCCTTTATCTAAAAGTAAGCTTTGTTAGACATCACTGTATATCAATTTCCCAAATCCCACTTAGCCCATGTGGACGAATGCAACTGAATTTAACCTCCCATCTCCTAATGGAGAACACGATTCTGGATGTATAATGACCCCACAACATCACTCCGTGATGTTTCTAATAAAACAATCAACAGATCTCTCTAAGCACCCAGAGACTATTTCCGCAAGTGTAGTCTACTCCAGTCTTATTTAGGGCCTACTGCTCCCCACGTGAGCCTACTTCTACTCCTGTCCTCCACATGCCATCCTCCTCATCATCTACATTCAAAGCCGTATTTCAGAGCCAAAGATCTTTTCCAAACCAACAATCTACAAATGACATCTATGGCTCAAACATTATGCTAGCTCCACATAATTTCACAATACCACTCTCCTCATCATTCCCAATTCCCACAGCTCTCTGAATTCAGGTAAAACCACTCTCTGCCCGTCAGGTATCTTCAAGGTTCAATTCTGATAGACTTCTCTGAAAACCAAAAATAAGTATTTGAACAGTAAATCATGTTTCTTTTAAACCTTATTTTTCAGGGAGCTAATCTTTTGTTTTACTCCAGTGAAATAAACCGTAACACAATTAAGTTTTATGGTCCAAAGCAATGATTTCATGAAAAATTTACGCCGGACTGTTTTGTCACATCATGCACTGCCTCTTCCCAATTCCTAACTGGGCAAGTTAACCATAACTACAGATCAAGAAAAGGTAGTGATTCTTTTCAAATTGTAGTTCTTGTCAATACTTCTGTTCCTAATTACTGCAAATTCTGAGACATATACTAGCCATTAACTCACTCCTTTAAAACAGATTCATTCAGTAAATAATAGCTATCTGAGATATACAAGACCCTGCACCAAGCTTGAGGAGATAAAAATGTAAAACGTGATCCCCACCTCCAAGACACTCAGAATTATTCTTACCATATTCCAAGTATTCGTTCCTGCACCTCCCCCAAATAATCTCACATGCTTCCCAACAGACACAACTTCTGTTACTAATGAGCCATCACAGGACAAACCCTGAAAGGTCATTCTGGAAATACTTTATCAAGAGCGTGATGAGAAATAGTCTATGAAGAACACAGAACTTTCCAGTCACCAGAGCAAGAATAAAAGGCTTGTTCCCATCTCCAGCTCCCTCAAAGAAAGCTTTTCCTATCACACAGCCCCTTAATCCAGAAAGTACAAGAGCCATGCTTGCCATCTACTTCGGTGTGGGATAAAAGTGTAAGTCTTGTAACAGGACAAACACCAAGGAATCACTAAAAGCTAATAGTTCTTCTATTTTATCCTTGCATGGGAAAAGAGGCCTCTAGGTCACTACGCTGCTTCCTGGGGTATGGTCAAATCATTTCTCTAAGTCTCATTTCACCCATCTGTATAATAGGGATAGAAATACCTATCTCACCAGATGGGAAAATGAATACATACAACTGAATTACACACAGTCCCTGTAATCCAGGAGCTCTGTCTAGTGACCGTGCCATATAAAGAAACAAGTTATTGCACAGCAATGACAGAAATAAGCTCTTAGGAAGGACTCCTGGCCCAGCCTGAGAGAAGGAGGACAAGGCAGGGAAGGCTTCCTGGAGGAACTGCTGCCTACATTTTGAGATCTGAAGGACGACTAAGTGTTAGAGAAAAGGGATCGGAAACTAGGAAAAAGGACTTCCAAGCAGAGAAGAGAGTTGTGTAAAGGCTTGCAGGTGAAATAAGGCATCAGGGTGGTTCAGGATACCCGGAGGAAAGAACCTAAAAATGAGATAAGGGAAGAAAGCTAGACCCAGATCCAAAAAACGTGGCCTATATACCCTATGAAGGAATCTGGGCTTTATTCTGCAGGCACTCAACGTTTGTTGACTGCAAAAGTGGTGGGGAAGTCCTATTTGCATCCCAGGGAGGGATCTGACTGCCGGGAGGAATGGACTTGAAGGAGGCCCCGGCCTTCTCCCACTCACCAGTCTAGATTAGATCCACCTGCGAAGTTCTTGAGCAACCTTACATTTCTCAACTCTAGCTTTCATGTCACCTGCAACTAACCCACCCAGTATCTGCTTCCCTCACTGGGACTCTGAATACCGTGTTGATGGAGACACTGGGGCACCGGGCAAGGCGTCTGGCACATATTAACCACTTAAAAAAATTTTTTTTCTTTTTAAGAAATTAACGAATCAGGCTGGTACCAGAGCCTCAGAAAATCTAGCGTCCCGGACTAAGATGCTAGCTGTAGGGGTGGGGAAAAGTGAACAGCCATAATAAACATCCTGGCGACCGGCTAAACGTGGCGGACAAGAGGAGACGTGGCAAAGAGAGCTCTGTTTCTAGCCGGAGCAACAGCGTGAATGGTAGCTCTGTACACGGAGACAGAGCAACACAAAGCAGCAAGTGACGGGGAAAGACGACGAGTTCCGTTTGAACAGCCCATTTCACGCGCTTCCCAGGCCCCAAGAGGTCATCCACCTACTGCGTCCTCGCCCTCTCTACTGCCCCACATCGCAGCTTCCAGCCGACTTACAAGCCCTCCGGAGCCTCAGATCCTGACAGCTTTGAGACACACAAGCTTCCGCGACTGTCACCACCCCTCCACACCGCAGTTTTCTGGGCCTCATCCACCTACCACCTCCCGCGGCCTGGCCGCGACCTCGCACCCGCACCACGCCTGGTCGCCCCACCCCGAAACTCACGCTTGCGGGCCTCCGACACTTTCTCGGCGGCCCGCTTCTCGGCCTGCAGCAGCTGCTGAATGCCCTGCGACTGGCTGGCCATGGCTGCGGCGACTCTAAGGCCGCGGGACGCGGCCTAAATCGGTTCGAGCGGATCCCTCGGGTCAGCTGACCCAGCCGCCTAGGATCAGCGCCTGCGCCCTGCGCCGGCGCCCCGCCCGCCGTCACGTGACGACCGCAGCGCCGCGTCAGCTGATTGCACTCGGCGTCTAGTGACTCGAGGGGGAAGGGGAGGGGCGGGGAAGGAAGGGCAGAGCGCCGCGGCTGCGCCTGCGCAGGATCTAGCGTCTGTCTTCCACCCCTCCCCCACTCAGCCTCATCCTCCTTGAATGGCTGGGTCTCTGCTGGTTCAGTTGCTGTGGCCGCACTGTCTCGTCGTTATTGCTGTAATCCCTCACTTTGCGACATGCCCGCATTAAGGTCGGGAGAGAAGGAATCAGGCCAAAACACAAATAGCTTCCCCTATTTTGCCCTCTGTTTTACTCTCTCTCTCCTCTTTCTGGAATGTTCCTTGGCGCTTAAATATATTAAGAGGCACGTTAGGAAAATACTTACCAGGCTCAGGGGATAGAGGATGGGAATAGGGTACTTGGGGACAGATATTAATCTGTGTGATTTGGGGAAGGATGATTTCCCTCTTTGTACCCCAGTTCAGGGACAAGTTGGACTATTTTCCATAAATATTTGATGAATGCCTGCTATGATCCTAGACCACTGTTGGTACTGAGGAGATAGCAGAGAGCAAGACAAAGTCCCTGGTAGAGTGCAGAGTTAATGGACCAAAACGGAAAAAAAAAGAAAATTGCAAACTGATAAAGTAATGAAGGAAAAATACAGAGCACTTTAAAAAAGAGGGGAATGTGGAGGTGCCCGTGAAGGCTTTTGCACGGAATTGGCATTTAAAAATGAGATCAAAAGGGTAAGAAGTTAGCCAGGAAAAGATACTGGGGGAGAGTGGGGAGTTAGGGTTGATTAGTGGAAGGGACCAGCATGTGTGGATTTGGCGGAAGCAATTTGGCACAGAGATATCCCCCACCACAAATAGGTAGATAGGAAGCCAATAGTTGAGTTTACCGTATGGCAGAATCTGCCCTAAACACTTGACTTGCTCCTGACAGCAGCTCTAAGGTAATGTTATTAACTCCTTTCTATAATAACCAAACTGAAGCTCAGGGAGGTTAAGTTAACTTGCCCAAAGTCACTCCCCTATTAACTGTCAGATGGGGTATTTGAATGGAGCCAGGCTTGCAAAGTGGAACATCTGATCCACTGTGCTCTTCTGCAAGAATCTGGTGGACTGTGGGAAGGACCAGATGGTCTCCTGAAGTCCACAAAGCACTGGGAACAAAGTAATGCCAGAACTTTTTGATAGATGCATCTCTGCCCTCGAGGAGCTGGATTTAGGGCCCAGGACATTTTCCTTTGATGGAAGTTAGAGGAGGGTAGTGGAAAGAAGGCTGAAATCCAGAACTCCTAGTTTTCCTGATAGAAGAACCAGTGCTTGACTGGTCTCTGGGATTTTTTAAGTCCAGTCAAGGATTTCCTGGGAAGATTAGTCATTTTCAGTGTTCTATGAAAATGTAATTCATCCAATCAGTCAACAGAGGACAACACATACTTCTAAGAGTGGCAAAAGGATTAAGAGATGATGATAGCCAAAAAGTGGAAATAACCCACATGCCTATCAACTGATGAGTAGATAAACAAAATGTGGCATATCCACACAATAGAATATTATTTGATCATAAACAGTAAAGTACTGATAACTTGCAGCAATATGGATGGACCTTGGTAACGTTATGCTGAGTGAAAGAACGCAGGCACAAAAGACCACATGCTGTGCACTTCCATTGATGTGAAATGTTCAGAATAGGCAAATCTATGGAGACAGAAAGTAGGTTAGTGGCTAGGCAGGAGCTGGGGGAGAAGGCGCGAGGAGTGATGGCTAACCAGTATGGGGTTTCTTTTTGGGATCATGGAAATGTGACGGAATGAGGTAGTGGTGAGGGTTGCACATCTTGTGAATGAATATACTTACAATACCAAATTGCCAACTTTACAAGGGTGGACGGCACAGTATGTGAATTATATCACAATGAAACTGTTATGAAAAGAGAGAGAAAGAAATGAGGATGATGGATGTGAAGCCCTTGCACAGTTTCTAGTCTGTAGTCAATGCCAGGAAATGGAAGCTGTTGTTTTTATCTGGCTGAGGGGTAATTGTTTGATTTACAAACCTGGTCCTCCATTTAACAAAAGCCTTCAGATTAGGGTTCCTCTAACAGCCAGCTTCCTGAAAGCATCGAAATACCTACACATTCCAGATTTTTTCTTTTCTTTCTTTCTTTCTTTTGTGTGTGTGTGTGTGTGTGTGTGTGCTTGCGACATTTCAAAAGTTTATTGTATAAAGAGAGCAATACTAGACAATCTGTCCTCTGAAATTTTCAGGCTGGTTTGTCTTTTCTGGTTATCTGAGTGGGTGTTAGTTGTCAGAACTTGGGTACTCCGGGGAGATGTCCCAAAATAACTAGGAAATGAGGGTGAAGCAATCGCCCTTCAAGGGAAGCCTTGAAGTCTTGAGCCTGCAATCCAGAGCAAAGATTCACAAAGTCATCTCAAGGATCCAGAGTGGATCCCAGACTTTGTACCCCTGATGAGTGAAAGTATTAGCACATCTAAGAATAGACTGCCCATTCGGATGTGTGGCTTTTCAAACACAAGCGGAAACAAGGTGAAGGAGCAATGGTGACCTTCACAGGCTCCAGGTCAGCAATGCCTCAGGGAAGTGGGGCCTCTCATTGCCTTGCCTAAGGAAACTAGACATCTAGGTTCAAATCCAGCTCTGTCGTTTACTTGCTGGGTGACCTTGAGCAGATTACTTCACCTCTGTGAGCCTCAGACTCCTCATATGTTAGAAATGGAGCTAATAATCATCTAATAGGGTAATTGTGAGGGTTACATTAGTTAATATATGTAACTAGCTTAGAATGTACTCACCACTCCTAATAACATAGGTATCTGAATCCCTGTGATAGTGACTTCTCAAAGAAAAATAATCAATGGGCCTTTTACTTTTATCTATTAACCTGGTATACTTAGTGAATGGAAATTTGCCTCAGACAAAGTGACTGCCCTAGAGAGACTTTGCAGGGCCAGTGCTATGGCTGAACAGGCCGTTCACTGCACAAGGAAGTGAGACTATGCTCAAATCCAGCCCGCGCTCCACCTACTCTACCCAGAGGGAGCACCTTTTTCTAATTCATTTGTAGGCTCCATGTGGTCAACCAGGAGTCCTGGAACAAATCCAGGGTGGGGGCCTGACTTGCCCCATGGGATACTCATAACTCCCCAGCCCCACTCCCAACCCCTGTGAGACAGCTTCCTGGCCTCTGCGTATACATTTTCCACATTGGAATGCTGATGATTAATAGTTAACCCTTACTCTTCCTTGACTTATACTGAAAATAGTTCTAAAGAGACTAAGATTACATTCTCAAATCTTAGTGGTGTTAAAGAGATAATATTTATCCTCCAATGAACCCAGTTTTCTGTGTGTTGCTGTGATAGTGACAGGGTTCAGGACATGCCAACCCAAAATATGGCATCTTGACATATTGACTATTTTACACTGAAAGAATTTGAGAATCAGCAGGTGCAGGAAGGACTCTTTGACCCTCCCTTGAAGCAGGTCATGAGACCTTCATGTGAAAAATGCCCTCCCTATATCCAGAGGAAAGGAACATCCTTATCTCCAGGACCCTAAGAGGCTAGTCTTTCTTTTTTTTTTTTTTTAAGATTTTATTTATTTATTTTGACAGAGAGGGAGAGACAGCGAGAGAGGGAACACAAGCAGGGGGAGTCGGAGAGGGAGAAGCAGGTTTCCCGCAGAGCAGAGAGCCCAACGCAGAACTTGATCCCAGGACCCTGGGATTATGACCTGAGCTGAAGGCAGACGCCTAACGACTGAGCCACCCAGTCACCCCCCAAGAGGCTAGTCTTAATTAAAATGTGCTCTCATTATAAAATACATACCAGATTTCAAAGGCTTTGTATCACAGAAATGTAAAATATCATGATTTTTTATTGATTATAAGTAGACTTGATAATATTTAGATTTACTGGGATAAATAAAATGTCTTCTTAAAATTAATTTCACAACCTCACACGCATTAGGATGGCTACTCTAAAAAAATAACGAGTGTTAGCAAGGATGAGAAGAAATGAGAACCCTTGTGTGATGTTGGTGGGAAGATAAAACGGTGCAGCTATGGGCCTATGTCCAGCAGCTTGTCAAAAAAATGAAAAGTGAAATTATCATATGATCCAGCAATTCTATTTCCAGGTATATATCCCACAGGAATGGAAAGCAGGGTCTTGAAGAAATATTTGTGCATCCCCCGTTCATAGCAGCGCTATTCGTAAAAGCCAAAATGGGGAAGCAACCCAAAGGTCCCTGAATGGATAAACAAACCATACAACGGAATGTTATTTAGCCTACAAAGGAAGGAAATGCCACTACCCACTACAAGGATGAAACTTGACATTATTCAGTGAAATAAGTCAGTAAAAAAGACAAATACTGTGTGATTCCACTTATCTGGGGTACTTAGAGTAATCAAACTCCTGGAGACAGAACATAGGACTGTGGTTTCCAGAGGCTGGGGGAGAGGGGAACGGGGAGTTGTTTAATGGGGAGAGAGTTTTGGTTTTGCAAAATGGAAAAGCTCTGGAGATTGGTTGCACCACAACGCTCAACGATACTGAGCTGTGCACTTGAAAATGGCTCAGATGGTATGTTTTATATTATGTACATTTCACCACAGTTAAGAACTACAAAATTAAAACACAGAAGTCTTGAATTTCCCCTTTTCTTTTTACTTTTTTCAAATTTGCCAATGGGAAAATTTAGTATCACACATGTGGCTTGCATTGTACTTCTATTGGCTGCTCGAAAGGAAAAGAATTTTGATCTCCATGGATTTTTGTTTTTAGGAAAAAGAATAACCATTCATTAAAGTAGGTACCGAACACTTGTTTGCTCAAAATTTAATAGTGCTTCACATGTTGTGTTTGTGAAACAATTTCTTTTTTCTTTTTTTTAAAGATTTTATTTATTTATTTGACAGATAGAGACACAGTGAGAGAGGGAACACAAGCAGGGGGAG